GATCTGAACGGCGACGGAGTTGTCGATGCAGTTCTGACGTCTGAGGATGGCTCTATCTGGTCGCGTCTGGGCGACGGGGCAGGCGGGTTCGGCGAGGCCAAGGCTCAGGGACGCGACTTTGCGACGAATTCTATTGAGAAAACCGGAGGTGGCGTTGCGAACTGGGACCGGGGGGCTTATTCGCTGGAAAGCCTGTCGGGTGCAGGAAAACTGACAACAGTGGTTGAACAAACCAACAAGTATACCTTTTTGGGTCTTTCATCAGATGCTGGAGATAGTGGTTACACGTCGATAGATTACGCGATCGATCAATCTTACGGCACGATTTATGTTTTCGAAAATGGAATAAACAGAGGGTCATTCGGAAGTTATTTTGTTGGCGATTTGTTGACAATCGAGCGCCTCGTGGACGGCACCGTCCGATATCTCAAGAACGACGTCGTGTTCTATACAAGTACCATTGTTTCGAACCCGTCCGAAGCGCTCTATGCAGACGCGAGCTTTCATCAACACGGAAGCCGCTTGGGTGAAACCCATCTGGAGTCAATTGACAGCACGGTTACGCCTGTAAATTGGTCCTACGATTCGGATGTTGCTTTAGTTGAACCTGATGGCCCGATTACGACAATTTTCGAAGACTTGAACGGCGACAGTGTGATCGATGCTATCCTGACCTCCGAGGACGGCTCTATCTGGACGCGCCTCGGTGATGGCATTGGCGGGTTCGGTGAGGCGAACCAGTTGAGCGGTCAACAAGACGATCAAACTTTCAATTTCGTCAACGGAACGGCTGGAAACGATACGCTTTCAGGCAGCACCGGTGCCGAAATTCTGGCCGGTGGTGCAGGAGACGACAACCTGAATGGAGCGGGGGGGAGCGACATTCTTTCCGGCGGCACGGGTTCGGACACGTTCGTCTTCACAAGTGTCGGCGAAACAAATGCGGTTGTTACCGATTTCGATACAAGCGGCGCATCAGCTGACGTGTTGCAATTCGAGAGTTCGGTCTTTGCAGACTGGAACGCGGTTCTTGCCGCTGCATCCGACGACGGAACCGACACGACGATTGCACTGGATGCTGACAGCGTTGTGATCCTGAAGAGTGTCCTGGCTTCAAGTCTGCAAAGTGATGACTTCGTCTTCGTCTAAGACGCTCATGAAATGATGTTGCCCATAGTGAGCATTCGGACGAAAGCTTTCGATTGATCACTATGGTTTGGATATCTTGTTCAGGTCCTCAAACGGCTCCCGCGACCGGACGTTATCATTCCTGAACGCAGACCTTGCAGTTTATTGACACCCGTTTCAGCAGTGCGGACGAAGCTTTCATGTAGTCTCAAGTTGAAACTTGAGGAACCTGGCGCCATCGTATTCGATCTCCCCGACAAATTTCGCTCCAATCCTTTTGAGTGCACCCAGGTTCTTTCGAGATGGTGGCAAGAGAAATGTTACAAAGGGGATGCGCTCGTCGGCAATCGCATATTCCAGCGCCTTTCTCGAAATGCGTGTTCCAAGACCAAAGGCATCGGGTCGCAAAACCAGTCCGAAGTCCCACTCGTCGCCTTCTTTTTGAAAACCACCCCACCCGACATACCGGCCATCGGACAAGATCGCCCAGTGACCGAGCCCATCACGATTCCAGCATTCTTCCTTTTGGGCAACGAACTTGCTCACAGCCGCGTCGTCCCATGCAAATGTCAAAAGCGGCATGTGTTCCGCGACCCTGGGGTCAGACATGTGAGCCGCAATCTCGGCTGGCTCAATTTCCGACAATCGGGCAAAAGCGATATTATGTTTCAAGTTGGCATCCACTCGCACTCTTGAGGTGTCTATCCTGATGAATCCGTTCCAGACAGGACAGGAACGCTATTTTATGCGTTTTCAATCCACTTGAGGCTCGCATAAAGGCTCCCGATATCGCTGTCACGGCATCTATGTCGGTGTTTGGGATCAGCAACGGGTTGTTGCTGTGCTTAATTCGGGGTCGGCTCTCGACAATGCAATGATTTCGTTTGAATAACCTGTCTTCCTGAAAGAAACTCGGAGCATGATTGCCTATGTCACAGTTGGTGCGGATGACATCGCCCGGGCGAAACGGTTTTATTCCGCGATCCTGCCGGCCCTTGGTTACGAGCTGGAGGAGGGGCCAGAGGGCCTGAGTTGCGTGTTGCCCGTCGAACCAGGTCAGTCTCCCGTTCTGCCTGACTTCTACGTCAAACCAACCTTTGATGGTCGTCCTGCCTCGGCCGGAAACGGTTCCATGGTCGCATTCGAGGCGCGCAATCAACAGCAGGTTCGGGATCTTCACGCTGCAGCGCTTCTTGCCGGCGGTTCCGACGAGGGCCAACCGGGCTTCCGGGTCTCGTACGGACCTAACTTCTTTGTTGGCTACCTTCGCGACCCTCAAGGCAACAAGATCGCACTTTTCTCCAGCGATCCGAACGAACCCGGACGAGACGGATAACGCAGTTTCCCGGGTTGCCAGACCCATGAGCCGCATCGCGAAAATCCGGGATACCGCCTCATGGCAGATCTTCACCGCACATGATCCGGACGACACCTATGCACCCTCACGCCGGCCGTCCTCGGCGTAACCGCCCATTTCCGAGCGCTGTCATTCGTAGTGTTCAGCACAAAGTGATGATGTGTGGACAAAGCCGCCATTCGCGACGTCGTCGTGAAAGTCAGCTGGCTGTGCCAGGATTACCGTGCGGACTCCGTCCAGGAGCAGTACGGAACTGTGCTCCCTACAGATTATTCCTTCTCCACCCAAGGTTGAGGTGACATGGGAGGGCCTAATCAACTGTTTTGCGCAACAAAACAAGATTGTCGAGGACGAGGTTGGAGGACCAGATAAAGTCCGCGTTCGCGCCAGGCGTGTCAAATATGTCTTCGAAGTTGGTAAAGGCCTTTTTGTTGTTTACGCCGACCGTCTCGTTGCTAAACGTTACGGCGGCCGGCCAGATGCTGTCATCGAAAGATGGCATCATCCAGTCCGATGGAACTGCCCAATGTGCCGCTGAATACCCTGTCGCATCATCGACGCCCTCTTGACTACAAGCCGAACTGTCGCGGGAATGGCCGTCAACAACGAGGCAACCTCGATCGTTCAGAGGGGACGTGTAGAAAGTCTGAGCGCGCCAACTGTCATCCGTTATTGCGACAGTCGCGCCATTCGCATCCTGAATATGCGCAACCAGGCCGCCATCTCCAGGGTGGAAAGCCTTGCCACGGTTGTCTTCAGAGCCAAGGCCAAGGTTCTCTTCCCAATCCACCATCATTATGGCCAGTGTCACCGGACGATCCGCTGTGAAGCGGACAACATTCGAGTTGAAATTCGTAAACGGGACAGGGTCGACCGCGATCAGTGTGCCATTTACATATAGTTCAAAGTAATTGTCGGCGAAAACATATGCAGTGAATTGCTCGCTGCCACCCGCGTCCATGATAGGCACACTGTCCAGATCAAGCTCTGCCAGGGAGTCCAATCGGTCGCCTCCGCATTCATTGAAGAGGTCGGCGGCAAACGGTGCCGTCCCGTAATTCGTTGCGGCAGGAACCGTCCAGACCGTACCATCGTCGGATTTTATTTCTCCAACCGCACTCGCGCGTGTTCCCGGACCGCAGTCAAACAGGCCAGGGTTGATTTCCGTGGCAAGTCCGGTTGTGAAAGTGGCCTCTTGAGCCTCCACCCCGAATGGGGCGGTCGCAAACAGGAGGCCTGCTAGGGCGTATCTCATAGTATCGTTTCTCCCTGGGTTTTGACTTTTCTACACACTCACAAAGCAAAATGCAGAGATTGTGCAGGGATAGCCTCTCCACTTGACCTGAGACCCGACTTCCATCCAATTCAGCGCGGAGTCCGCTGGTTAATTTTTGACCTCATGCGGCCCGTGTTTGCAATGTCATTTTCGATGCGAATTCGTGGGGCGTGAGATTGCCCAGGGATGAGTGGGGTCTGTTTCGGTTGTAGTCTTCCTTCCATGCGGTGATTTGGGATCTGGCTTCGACGAGCGACGAAAACAGCGTCTCGTTGAGGCACTCATCCCTGAAGCTGCCGTTGAAACTCTCGACGAAACCGTTCTGCATTGGCTTTCCGGGCTGGATGTAATGCCAATCAACACCTGTCCCCTGACACCATTTGAGAACGGCCATGCTGGTCAGCTCGGTTCCGTTGTCAGAGACCAAGGTGACCGGTTTGCCACGCAGACGGATGAGCGTATCGAGTTCACGGGTGACCCGCAAACCTGACAATGAAGTGTCGGCCACCAGCGCCAGGCACTCGCGGCTGTAATCGTCGACCACCGCCAGAACCCGAAAGCGGCGGCCGTCCGTAAAGGCGTCCGACACGAAGTCCAGGCTCCACCGCTCGTTTGTTCTGCCTGGCAACACCATCGGCCGCCTGGTGCCCAGAGCCCGCTTCCGGCCACCACGTTTGCGGACCTGAAGCTTTTCCTCGCGATAGAGACGCCTCAGCTTCTTCTGGTTCATTCGGATGCCTTGGCGTTCCAGCATGACGTGAATACGTCTGTAGCCGAAGCGCCGGCGCTCTCCGGCAACTTGTCTCATGGCTTCACGCAGATCGGCATCATCCGGTCGCAGGCGTCGATACCGAACACTCGACCTGTCAATTGCCAAGACAGCACACGCCCGACGCTGGCTCACGCCGTGCCAGGAGCACAGGTGAGCCGCAGCTTCCCGTCTTGCACCGGGCGTTACCATTTTTTTGAAGCAACGTCTTTCAGCATGGCGTTGTCGAGCATGGCTTCCGCCAGCAGTTTCTTCAGCTTGGTGTTCTCGTCTTCCAGAACCTTCAGCTTGCGAGCATCGGACACGTCCATCCCGCCGAACTTGGCCTTGTACTTGTAAAAAGTCGCTTCTGAAATGCCGTGCTTGCGGCAGACATCCGCTGTCTTCATCCCAGCTTCCTGCTCCCGCAAGATGCCGATGATCTGTTCTTCCGTGAACCGTGACCGCTTCATTCCGTCCGTCTCCTGATTGGAACGGACTCTACACAAAACTGGAGGAATTTAAGGGTCTCAGGTTGTTGATTTGCGCTGAGAACTGACCCGGTATTTTCACCGAGATTTGACCCACCTTTGTTTATGTATCAGCGGTTACGTGTTGGTCAATGTTGGCTTGTCCTTTCGTTTTTTCTTTGCAGCCTCTGAGCTGGCTTTGAAGCGGTAGCTGTCGTTTCCAGTTTCCAGGATGTGGCAGCGGTGTGTGAGGCGATCCAGAAGCGCGGTTGTCATCTTTGCATCTCCAAAGACCTGGGCCCATTCTGAGAAGCTGAGGTTGGTGGTTATGATGACGCTGGTCCGCTCGTAGAGTTTGCTCAGTAGATAGAACAGTAGTGCGCCGCCGGATGGACTGAACGGCAAGTAGCCAAGTTCATCCAAAATCACGAGGTCAATTTTGGTCATCATCTCTGCCATCTTTCCGGTCTTGCCGAGCGCCTTTTCCTGTTCTAGCGCGTTGACCAGTTCGACGGTTGAGTAGAAGCGGACCTTGCACCTGTGATGTTCAATGGCCTGAACACCGATGGCGGTCGCGACATGGCTTTTGCCCGTTCCAGGCCCGCCGATGAGCACGACGTTCTCAGCGTTCTCCATGAACTCGCACCGATGCAGTTGCTTGACGGTCGCTTCATTGATGTCACTAGATTTGAACTCAAAGCCTGCGAGGTCCTTGTATGACGGAAAGCGGGCCACCTTTGTCTGGTATGTGATTGAGCGCACTTCCCTTTCGGCAATCTCCGCTTTGAGCAGTTGGGACAACATAGGTGTTGCGGCCTCAAAAGAAGGCCCGCCTTGGGCGACCAAATCTTCTACGGCGTTTGCCATGCCATAGAGCTTGAGACTGCGCAGCATGATCACGATTGAGGCTCCTGCTGGGTCATGACGCATGGTACTTGCCCCCAGCCTGTCTCAGATCATCATAGCGGTCCACGTTTGCCTTTGGCGCTGTTTCCAATGCGAGTGCATCAGGTGGATCGACCTCTGGGAGATCAGTGTGCGTTCCGTCTATCAGCCGGTGCAACAAGTTCAGAATGTGGGTTTTGGTTGGCACGCCAGCCTCCAACGCCAATTCTACGGCACACAGAACGGCATTCTCATCATGGTGCAAAACCAATGACAGGATATCGACCATCTCGCGGTCACCACCTTCTCTGCGGTGCATGTGACCTTGCAAGTTGCGGAAGGCCTCTGGCATCTCAATGAACGGTGCTCCGTTGCGCAAGGCACCGGGTTTACGTTGGATTACAGCGAGATAGTGGCACCAGTCGTAGATAACACGACCAGGTTTGCGGTGTGATCGATCTATGATGCGCTCATGTGTGCAAACGGTCTTCCCCTCGGCCACTATGACCAGCCGTTCTGGATAGACATGCAAGCTGATGCGCCGGTTGGCAAAGCTCGCGGGCACGCTGTAGCGATTACGCTCAAAGGTGATCAGACATGTTGGCGACACACGCTTACTGTGCTCCACAAAACCGTCGAAGGCGGGTGGTAGTGCCATCAACATGGGCTTCTCTGCTTCCCAGATGTCAGCAATAGTGCCGGGCAGATCCCGGTGCGGTGTCTCAATCCAAAGGGCGATGCAGCGGTCTTCCAGCCACTGGTTCAGCTCATCAAGATCCTTGAAGACAGGCATGACCTGCCACATGCGATTGCGCGCATCTTGGACGTTCTTCTCGACTTGGCCCTTCTCCCAACCTGCCGCTGGATTGCAGAACTCGGGTTCAAAAACATAGTGACTGGCCATCGCCTTAAACCGGGCGTTGATGTCACGCTGCTTGCCACGGCCAACGCGATCAACAGCAGTTTTCATGTTATCATAGATCCCGCGTCCAGGCACACCGCCAAAAACGCGGAACGCATGCCAATGGGCATCGAACAGCATCTCATGCGTTTGCAATGGGTAGGCGCGCACTAAGAAAGCTCGGCTGTGCGAGAGCTTCGTATGGGCCGCCTGCAGCTTGACCCGTTCACCGCCGATAGTGGCCCAGTCTTCGCTCCAATCAAACTGGAACGCTTCGCCGGGTTGGAACACCAGCGGTACAAACGTGCCGCGCCCAGTTGTTTGCTCGGCACGATGCCGGTCGTCACGCCAGGCACGGGCAAAAGCGGCCACGCGCGCATAGGATCCTGCATAGCCCAACTTCACCAAATCGGCGTGCATCTGCTTCACAGTACGCCGCTCTTTGCGCGATTTGCGTGTCTGAGCCAACAACCATGCAGACAAACGATCCGCATACGGATCAAGATTACTCGGTCGTTTGGGCACCTTGAACTTCGGCTCAACAGCGCCCTCTCGCAGGTACTTCTTGATGGTATTGCGAGACAAACCAGTACGGCGGGCTATCTCGCGAATGGGCATCCCTTCACGTAATGCCCAACGTCGAATGACACTTAAAAATCCCATGTCGATCACTCCATATCTCCCCCAAACAAAAGCGTCAGGGTAGCGTCGTTACATGGGTCAGTTCTCAGTGAAAATTTATGGGGCTACCGGGTCAGTTCTCAGCGCAAATCAACAGTCTCAGGTCACACTTTCAAAAGCGACACCTCGCGGTATCCTGTGGAGCCAACGCGACAGCATTGCACCACGGTATCATTCGGCGTTGGAATTAGCTGGTGTCACCAGAAAATAACGAGATTGATTTTGCACTGCAACATTTTGCTTTGCATAAAAAATAGCACTGCGCATAATAGAGGCATGAGCAGTGGTATTTCGATCCTCGTCATCGATGACAACAAGATACGTGCATCCATCATCGAAGAGGGATTGCGCGATGCCGGGCACGACAAGGTCATCCTCGTGCATCAGATGGACGGCCTGGTGCGCCAGATTGCGGACATCAATCCGGATGTCATCGTGATCGACCTGGAAAATCCCAACCGGGATCAGTTGGAACACATGTTTCAGGTGTCCCGGACCGTGCACCGGCCAATCGCCATGTTTGTCGACAAGGCGGACAGCCTGTCGATTGAGGCCGCAGTCGATGCCGGGGTTTCTGCCTACGTCGTCGACGGCCTCAAACGCGAACGTGTGAAGCCAATTCTCGACATGGCTGTCAGCCGGTTTCGCGCCTTTTCCAAGCTTGCCCAGGAACTGGAGGATGCGCGCACGGAACTGGCAGATCGGAAATCGATCGATCGCGCCAAGGGAATACTGATGAAGTCGAAAGGGCTGTCGGAGCAGGAGGCCTATGAACTTCTGCGACGCACCGCGATGAACCAGAGCCGCAAGATTATCGACGTGGCGCAAAGCCTGATTATCGCCAGTGGACTGCTGGCAGACTGATACGGGACTGACTGACACCTGAATGCGCTCGCGCATTTGAAAAGGAACGGCCAATTTGGAGATCGGAGGAAAATGGAAACCCGACTGACATCTGTTATTGCAGGGTTCATTCCTCTGTTGGACAGCGCGGTTCTCGTTGCGGCAAAGGAAATCGGCTTTGCTGAAAGGGAAGGGATTGCGCTGAAACTGGTCCGCGAGTCCTCCTGGGCCAACATAAGGGACCGGATCGCCGTCGGTCACTTTGATGTTTCGCACATGCTGGCACCCATGCCGATTGCCGCAAGCTTGAACCTCACCAGCCTGTCGGTTCCGATGCTGGCGCCCATGGTGCTTGGTCTTGGTGGGAATGCAATCACGGTTTCATCCACACTGTGGATGGAGATGGCTGACCAGGGGGCTGACCAAAACGGCGATCCGGCATCGACCGGATCCGCCCTGGCCAGGGTGATCCGTGCCCGGGGCGAGGCGAGGGGTTCTTCCATTCGGTTTGGCGTCGTGCACCCTTTTTCCGGCCATGCCTATGAATTGAGGTATTGGCTGGCTGCGGCAGGAATTGATCCGGACAGGCATGTTGAAATCACGGTGCTCGCCCCGCAGCTCATGGCCGACGCCCTGACTGCGGGACATCTGGACGGCTATTGCGTCGGGGAACCTTGGAACTCGGCAGCCGTCGTGGCGGGAACCGGCCGCATCGTCACCTGCAAACAGTCGATCTGGCCGAACAGTCCGGAAAAGGTTCTCGGCGTGACACGGAAATGGGCCTTGGCCAATCCTGAAGTTCTGGCGGCATTGATGCGAGCCATGTCGGCTGCAGCCGACTGGTGTTCCGATCCGAACAATGCGAACCACCTGACCGAAATACTCACCGGGCCGCAATACCTGGCTTGCACACCCAGCATTTGCCGCCCGGCGCTCTGCGGCGAGATGCGCTTCGACCTGACTGCAGCGCAGACGATTCCAGATTTTCTGACGTTTTCCGGCGGAGAGACTGCCTCGCCGATGCCGGCCCACGGACGATGGTTTTACGAGCAGATGGTTCGGTGGAGACAGGCGGAGTTTTCTGATGACCAGGTCGAAGAAGTGTCGTCCATCTTTTCGCCATCGCTTTATCGCGCGGCATTGGGTCTTGAGGAAAAGGCGGCAGAAGGTTCGATCCGCTTGTTCGACACTCCATGAAAAATACCGGTGGCACTGAGTTATTCATCCTGATCCATTCTGGTAGTGCACTGCACAAAAAACCGTCATGTGCCTCTAACCTCAGCCAACAATTCGGGCAAACCGACTGGCATGGTTGGAACGAAGAATCCATTAACCGACTATGAAATATACATAATTCAAGGTTCGTCCAGTTTGGCACACTTCCTGCTTTCACATTTGACGAGGCCGACGTTGGCCTAAATCATATTGCGCCCATTGACGGGCGCTCAGGCAAAGCCGCCGTTCTGATCTGCATCCTCTTCTCCCGGGCGCAGGTCAAGACGGCGGCTTTTTGTTTGGAGCCAGCGTTCGATCAGGACGCGGAAGACAAGAGGGAACAGGACGTGACGCACGTGAAAAAAATCCGGATGACCCGAAGGATTGCGCTCGCTGCAATGTTGACGGCAACCGCCATGGTGCCGGCATCGGCAGCCTTTGCCGAGGCGCTGGACGTCGAAAAGGACGAACTCACTTTCGGATTCATCAAGCTGACCGACATGGCGCCACTGGCCGTCGCCTATGAGCTCGGCTTTTTCGAGGAAGAAGGACTTTTCGTGACCCTGGAGCCTCAGGCCAACTGGAAAGTGCTGCTGGACCGTGTGATCACGGGCGAACTGGACGGAGCGCACATGCTTGCGGGCCAACCGCTGGCAGCAACGATCGGTTTCGGCACAAAGGCCCACATCGTCACGCCTTTTTCCATGGACCTCAACGGGAACGGCATAACCGTGTCCAACGAGATCTGGGAAATGATGAAGCCGAACATCCCGACAATGGATGACGGACGCCCGCAACATCCGATTTCGGCCAAGGCCCTCAAGCCGGTCGTCGACAAGTTCATTGATGAAGGAAAACCCTTCAACATGGGCATGGTGTTCCCGGTCTCGACGCACAATTATGAACTGCGCTACTGGCTCGCTTCCGGCGACATCCATCCGGGCTTTTATTCCGAGACCGACATTTCCGGTCAGATCCAGGGCGAAGCTCTTCTTTCGGTGACGCCACCACCTCAAATGCCGGCAACGCTGGAAGCAGGCACCATCTATGGCTATTGCGTTGGCGAGCCCTGGAACCAGCAGGCGGTCTTCAAGGGGATCGGTGTTCCGGTGATCACCGATTACGAAATCTGGAAGAACAATCCAGAGAAAGTGTTCGGGCTCACCAAGGAATTCACGGAAGAGTATCCCAATACGACACTCGCCATCACCAAGGCCCTGATCCGCGCGGCCAAGTGGCTGGATGAAAACGACAATGCCAATCGCATGGAAGCGGTCGAAATCCTCGCCAGGTCCGAATATGTCGGGGCGGACGCGGAAGTCATCGCCAACTCCATGACGGGTACGTTCGAATACGAGAAGGGCGACAAGCGCGACGTACCGGATTTCAACGTCTTTTACCGCTACTACGCGACGTATCCCTACTATTCCGACGCGGTCTGGTATCTGACGCAGATGCGTCGCTGGGGCCAGATTCCGGAGCAGAAACCCGACAGCTGGTACGATGATGTCGCCAAATCCGTCTATCTGCCAGAGACCTATCTGAAGGCTGCACGCATGCTGGTCGAGGAAGGGCATGTCGCCGAAGAGGATTTTCCCTGGGAGTCCGACGGCTATCGTATGCCGACACCTGCCGCCGATATCATCGACGGCATTCCCTACGACGGCAAACAGCCCAACGACTATATCGACAGCCTGCCCATCGGCCTCAAGGGCAAGCAGGTTGTTGACGGCAACGAAGTGGTTGGCGGCTGACGTATCTATCGGAGCGGTGGCCAAAGGAGCCACCGCCCAATCTTCCTGAATTCCAGAATTAGATTACAAGGGACCGTTCCCATGGCCAATGCCGATACCGCAGGATCGACGGATCTTGCCCGGGCCGCCCGGAAAGAAAAACTCTTCACGTTGATCAACAAGGCCGGCGGATGGCTGGATGCGCTTGGATTTTCCTGGCTCGTGCCACTCATGAAGATAGCTGCGGGCGACAATCCGAAAGAACAACTGGGCGAACTGAAACGCGGGTTCCTGATCCCGTTGCTCGGAATCGTCACCTTCCTGGTTCTGTGGGGAGCGCTGGCGCCGCAGGTCCAGACGTCACTCGGCGCGGTTCCGGGCCCTGCACAGGTCTGGTCGCAATCAGTCAATCTCTGGCATGATCATGTTCGAGAACGCGAAAAGGCAGCCGCATTCTACGAGCGTCAGGATGCCCGAAACGCCAAATACGAGGCAGAGGGCAAGACCGACAAGATCAAGTTCCGCAGCTATACCGGCAAGCCGACCTATATCGATCAGATCGGTACCTCCCTGCTGACCGTCGGTCTCGGCTTCCTGATCGCAACTATCATTGCTGTTCCGCTCGGCATCGCCTCTGGCCTGTCGAGGTCGTTCAACGGTGCAATCAATCCCCTGATCCAGATCTTCAAACCGGTATCACCCCTGGCGTGGTTGCCGATCGTCACCATGATCGTGTCGGCAACATACGCCAATCCCTATGACTGGTTGTCAAAGTCGTTGCTGATCTCGGCCGTCACCGTGACGCTGTGCTCCATGTGGCCGACCCTGATCAACACCGCGCTTGGCGTGGCTTCGGTCGACAAGGATCTGATGAATGTTGGCCGCGTGCTCCAGTTGCCTACCTGGAAAACCATCACGAAACTCGTGCTTCCCTCTTCGTTGCCGCTGATCTTCACCGGTCTGCGCCTGTCATTGGGTGTGGGTTGGATGGTTCTGATCGCGGCTGAAATGCTGGCGCAGAACCCTGGCCTTGGAAAATTCGTCTGGGACGAGTTCCAGAATGGCTCCTCGCAGTCTCTGGCCAAGATCATGGTCGCGGTCGTGACCATCGGTCTCATCGGCTTCATGCTCGACAGGTTGATGTTCGCCCTGCAACGCGCCTTCACATTCAGCGCCAATCGCTAAGGAGGCCGATATGTCCTTTCTGGAAATCTCCGGTGTCTCCAAGTCCTATGGCGAAGGTGCAGGCCGCACGGATGTGCTTGAAGACATCAATCTGAAAGTGGAAGAGGGTGAGTTCATAGCCATCGTCGGCTTCTCCGGCACTGGAAAGACGACGCTGATCTCCCTGCTTGCAGGGTTGATCGAGGCCGACGCGGGCGGGGTGATCTTCAATGGCAAGGAGATCGATGGTCCAAGTCCGGACCGGGGCGTGGTCTTTCAGTCATACTCCCTGTTGCCCTGGCTCTCGGTCACCGGCAACGTGGCGCTCGCTGTCGACACGGTCTTCAAGAAGAGGCCTGCAAGGGAACGGAAGGCCATCTGCGACAAGTATATCGAGATGGTCGGCCTTGCACATGCAAGGGAGCGCAAACCGGCCGAACTTTCCGGTGGCATGCGTCAGCGCGTCGCCGTTGCGCGGGCTCTCGCTATGCAGCCTGAATTGCTGCTTCTCGACGAGCCGCTCAGCGCTCTTGATGCCTTGACGCGGTCCAAGCTTCAGGACGAGTTTGCGGCGATCTGCGAACAGGAAAAGAAAACCATCGTCCTGATCACGAACGATGTCGACGAGGCCATTCTGCTGGCCGACCGGATCATCCCCCTGAACCCGGGAACGACCGCAACGCTCGGCCCGGAATTCAAGGTGCCGTTCAAACGACCGCGCGATCGCGGTGAACTCAATCATGACGAAGACTTCATCAAGCTTCGAGCCGATGTCACCGAGTACCTGATGGCTGTTGGTGCCGAACGCGGGACCGATCTGGAGCGCGATATAGTCTTGCCGAATATCGTCCCCATCACGCAGCGGAGCAACCCAGAAGACCCGTTGCCACCCGCGTACGCGCGTGCCGCGGAATCCGTCAAGGACGACCGTTTCCTCGAATTTTCACAGCTCAAGAAAGTCTACCCGACTCCGAAGGGACCATTGACCGTTGTCGATGATTTCGAGCTTAAGATGAAGAAAGGCGAGTTCATTACACTCATCGGCCATTCCGGCTGCGGCAAGTCGACTGTCCTTTCCATGGTGGCGGGATTGAACCCAATCACCGAGGGAGCGATCGTCCTCGACGGAACCCACGTCACCCAGGCCGGACCTGACAGGGCGGTGGTTTTTCAGGCCCCGAGCCTCATGCCCTGGCTGACGGCTCACGAGAATGTCGCTCTGGGTGTCGACAAGGTTTATCCGGATGCGTCCAAGTCTGAGAAGCGGGACGTCATCGAGTACTACCTTTCAAAAGTTGGTCTGGCCGATGCCATGCAGAAGAGGGCCTCCGATCTTTCCAACGGTATGAAGCAACGTGTCGGGATCGCGCGTGCCTTTGCTCTTTCACCCAAACTTCTACTGCTCGATGAACCATTCGGGATGCTTGACAGTCTGACACGTTGGGAACTTCAGGACGTTCTGATGGATGTGTGGAAACGCACCCAGGTGACAGCGATCTGCGTCACCCACGACGTCGATGAGGCAATCCTTCTCGCGGACCGGGTGGTCATGATGTCCAACGGTCCGAATGCGAGGATTGGAAACATCATGGACGTTGACCTGCCGCGTCCACGCTCGCGCAAGGAGTTGCTCGCCCATCCGGACTACTACGCCTATCGCGAAGAACTTCTGGACTTCCTGGAAGCGTATGAAGGCGGGGCGGATCCGAGCGAGGATCAACTCAAATCCATCCAGGAAAAACGCGCCACCCGCATGGCACGCCAGAAGGCAGCCATGGAAGCGGCCGAGTAGTCCGTGGAGAAAACTATGAAAAAACAGAAACTTGTCATCGTTGGCAACGGCATGGCGCCGGGGCGGATGCTCGAATACCTGTTTGAGAAAGACAGGCACGCCTACAACATCACAATCTTCAACGCTGAACCGCGGGTGAATTACAATCGTCTTATGCTGTCGCCTGTCCTGTCCGGCGAAAGGACCTATGAAGACATCATCACTCACGGTGACGACTGGTATGCCGAACATGGTGTGACACTGCACAAGTCCGCAAAAGTCTCCGAAATCGATCGTGCGGCAAAAACGGTGACGTCCGAGACGGGTGTCACGGCATCCTACGACAGGCTGGTCATTGCCACAGGGTCCAATCCGTTCATCATTCCGCTGCCTGGTAACGATCTGGATGGAGTGCTTACATATCGGGATCTTGATGACGTCGGAAAGATGCTTGATGCCGCAAAACGCGGTGGGCGGGCAATCGTCATCGGTGGCGGGTTGCTTGGTCTGGAAGCGGCGGCCGGTCTCAAGATGCAGGGCATGGAAGTCACGGTTCTGCATCTGATGCCGACACTGATGGAGCGACAGCTGGACCCGGCCGCCGGATATCTCCTGCAGGAGGAATTCGAGCGGCGCGGAATTGAAGTCCGTACCAAGGCCAACAGTCACGAGATCGTCGATGACGGCACGGGCAAGGTGAAGGGTATACGCCTGGATGACGGCACCCAAATCGAGGCGAGTGTTGTTGTCATGGCTGTCGGCATCCGCCCTTCGACAGAGCTTGCAAAGGCGATCTCTCTTGACGTCGGACGCGGCATTCTGGTCGGTGACGACATGCGCACCAGCGATGCGGATATCTTCGCCCTCGGCGAATGTGTGGAACACCGTGGCATCTGCTACGGGCTTGTTGCGCCGCTTTACGAGATGGCGGAAGTCATCGCGGATAACCTGTTGAACGGGACTTCCGAATACACCGGATCCGTAACGGCAACCAAACTCAAGGTTACGGGTGTCGACCTTTACTCCGCAGGAGATTTCTCGGAAGGGGAGGAGCGCGAGGAAATCGTGCTGCGTGACGCGGCGGCCGGGGTCTACAAGCGGCTTGTCCTGAAGGACAACCGGATTGTCGGTGCCGTCCTTTACGGTGAAACTTCCGACGGACCGTGGTTCTTCGATCTCCTGAAAAAACGTTCAGATGTTGCCGAAATGCGGGACACCCTGATCTTCGGCCAGGCGTATCAGGGGGGCGCCCCCCTGGACCCTACGGCGGCCGTTGCAGCCTTGCCGGATGATGCTGAAATCTGCGGCTGCAACGGCGTTTGCAAGGGGAAGATCGTTAATGCGATTTCGGAAAAGGGCCTGAAGTCCCTCGACGATGTCAGGGCTCACACCAAGGCGTCGGCTTCTTGCGGGACCTGTACCGGTCTGGTTGAGCAACTGATGCAGGTCACGCTCGGAGATGCTTACAATCCGGCTACCGTGACTCCGATGTGTGGCTGTACCCATCTGGGACACAGCGATGTCCGTCGACTGATCAAATCCAGGGAACTGAAGACCATTCCCTCGGTCATGCAGGAACTTGAGTGGACATCGTCAGGTGGTTGCGCAAAATGCCGCCCGGCGCTGAACTACTATCTCGTCAGCGACTGGCCGGACGAATATGCCGACGACTACCAGTCCCGGTACATCAACGAGCGCGTCCACGCAAACATCCAGAAAGACGGCACCTATTCGGTCGTGCCGCGTATGTGGGGAGGCATGACATCCTCCACCGAATTGCGCGCGATTGCCGATGTTGTCGACAAATTCAATATTCCAGCGGTCAAGTGCACCGGGGGACAGCGGATCGACATGCTCGGCATCAGCAAGGAAGACCTTCCCGCTGTCTGGGCGGATCTCGGCAAGGCAGGGTTTGTATCGGGTCAGGCCTATGCCAAGGGGCTGAGAACGGTGAAAACCTGTGTCGGGTCCGACTGGTGCCGTTTCGGCACCCAGGATTCCACCGGGCTTGGAATCCGGATCGAAAAATTCATGTGGGGCTCCTGGACGCCGGCGAAATTGAAATTGGCGGTTTCCGGCTGTCCGCGGAATTGTGCTGAAGCAACCTGCAAGGACATTGGCGTTATTTGCGTCGACAGCGGTTACGAGATCCATTTCGCCGGCGCCGCCGGTCTCGACATCAAGGGCACGGAAGTCCTTGGTCTCGTCAAGACGGAAGACGAGGCGCTCGAGCACATCGTGGCGCTGACCCAGATGTACCGGGAACAGGGACACTATCTCGAGCGGATCTACAAATGGGCCCGACGCGTCGGATCTGACGAGATCCGTACCCGGATCATGGAGGATGCCGACCAGCGCAAGCTCTATTTTGACCGGTTCGTTTTCAGTCAGAAGTTCGCCCAGGTCGATCCGTGGTCGGAGCGTGTTTCCGGCAAGGACAAGCATGAATTCAGGCCGATGGCGGTTCTGCAGGCGGAGGCGGCCGAATGAACGCGGAAACGAGAAGTTGGGTTGCCATTGGAGATTTGATGGACATTCCCCGCGAGGGTGCCCGGGTCGTCAAAACCGCTACAGGCTGTATCGCGGTTTTCCGGACCGTTGATGACGAGGTCTATGCGCTTGATGATCGATGCCCGCACAAGGGCGGGCCGCTAAGCCAGGGGATCGTACACGGGACGTCCGTGACCTGCCCGCTGCACAACTGGGTTTTTGATCTGGCAACAGGTCTTGCAAAAGGCGCGGACGAAGGGAGCGCAAGGACGACGGCGGCTCGTATCGAAAACGGCAAGGTTCTGCTTGCCGCCGATGATCTCGCACGGCGGACCGGATGACCGGCAAATCGGGTGATCTCGGCCGCCTGAATAACAAGGCGCCCGGGTCTGGGGAGGAAGTTAACGGAGGGGCAGGCGTGAACGCCCGAACAATCAACAAGACGGTCAGGACGACATGCCCATATTGCGGTGTCGGTTGTGGTGTTCTGGCCACGCCGCAGGCCGACGGAACTGTTGCGATCGCCGGGGATGAGACTCATCCGGCAAATTTCGGCAGACTATGCTCGAAGGGGGCGGCTCTCGGAGAGACGCTTTCCGTTGAGGACCGGCTGCTGCATCCTGAAATTGATGGTGAAAGAGCAGATTGGGACAAGGCGCTCGATCGCGTGGCGCAAGAATTTTCAGAAGCCGTTCGGCAACATGGTTCTGACAGTGTCGCTTTTTATGTTTCCGGCCAGATTCTGACTGAAGACTATTACGTTGCCAACAAGCTGATGAAAGGCTTCATCGGCTCCGGCAATATCGACACAAATTCAAGGCTCTGCATGGCGTCTTCGGTCGCTGGCCACCGCCGTGCGTTCGGTTCCGACACCGTGCCTGGAACCTATGAAGATCTGGAAACATGCGATCTGCTGGTGTTGACCGGCTCCAATCTTGCCTGGTGTCATCCAGTTCTCTTTCAGCGGATCGAGGCTGCAAAGGCGCAAAATCCACAGATGCGGATAGTTGTTATCGATCCGAGGGAGACTGCAACCTGTGCGCTTGCCGATCTGCATCTGGCATTGAAACCTGATACCGATGTTGCACTCTTCAATGGCCTCCTGGCGTTCCTGGCAGAAACCGATGCGCTCGACCGCGCCTATATTGCCGCACATACGCACGGTTTCGACGACGCGCTTGCAGCATCGGGGCCTTGCGAGATCAACCGTATTTCACGAGAAACGGGGTTGGCACCGAGGGATCTCGCAACATTTTATACGATGGTCGCGCGTACCGAAAAAACCGTCACCGTCTACAGTCAGGGTGTCAATCAATCCGTTACGGGTACGGACAAGGTCAATGCGATTATCAACACGCATCTGGCAACCGGACGGATCGGCAGGCCCGGTATGGGCCCGTTTTCGGTAACAGGTCAGCCGAATGCCATGGGTGGGCGCGAGGTTGGCGGTCTTGCCAACACGCTGGCGGCGCACATGAGTATCGAGAATCCGGATCATCGCGCGCTTGTCCAGGAATTCTGGCAGAGCCCGTCAATTGCAGAAAAGTCGGGCCTGAAGGCCGTTGATCTCTTCCGTGCGGTCCGCGCGGGCAAGATCAAGGCGCTCTGGATCATGGCCACCAATCCGGTCGACAGTCTGCCAGATGCCGACGGTGTGGCAGACGCATTGAAAAAGTGTCCCTTCGTTGTCGTCTCCGATGTGACACGTGCCACCGATACGGCTGCCTATGCGGATGTTCTGTTGCCTGCAGCTGCCTGGGGCGAAAAAAACGGGTCGGTTACCAATTCTGAACGCAGGATATCCCGCCAGCGAGCCTTTCTGGAGAGGCCAGGGGAGGTCAGGCCGGACTGGTGGCAGGTAACCGAGGTGGCGCGGCGCATGGGCTTTGCGCGGGCGTTCGACTATGACGGACCGGCTTCCGTGTTTCGCGAACATGCCGCGCTTTCCGGCTATGGTAACAACGGGCAGCGAGCCTTCGACATAAGCGCTCTCAAGCATGTGTCATGTGCAGAATTTGACCGCCTCAAACCGCTGCAGTGGCCTCAATTGCAGGACAGGACTCAACAAGAGCAAACGCGTTTTTTTGCCGGCGGTGGGTTCTTCACGCAGGACCGGAAGGCTGTTCTGGTTCCCGTCAGGACAACGGAACCGCGCAAGCAGGGGCGGCAATATCCTTTCGTACTCAATACGGGCCGGATGCGGGATCAGTGGCACACGATGACGCGGACGGGCAAGAGCCCGCGTCTTTCAGCACACATCGCAGAGCCTTATGCAGAGCTCCACCCGGTAGACGCAAAGAAGTTAGGTCTCTCGGCTGCGGATCTCGTTGAAGTCAAAAGTCCTTTTGGAACCGTCATGCTGCGCGCGCAGGTCACGGAACGCGCTCAACCGGGCTCGATCTTCGTGCCGATGCATTGGACCGATCAGGTGAGCTCACAGGGCAGGGTCGACGCGGTTGTGGCACCAGAAACTGACCCGGTTTCCGGTCAGCCGGGTTCCAAATTCACACCAGTCGCTCTTCGTAGGCTCGTCTTTGACTGGTACGGTTTCGCAATCCTGAGGAAGAAGCCGGAAAAGCTTGAAGCCGATTACTGGTCGGTGGCTCCGACCTCTGGAGGTTGGCGAGTCGAAATGGCCGGCTCGGCCGCGCAAGACCCGGCTCTGCTTGCAAGAAGGCATCTGGGCGGTGATGCAAAACTGGCAAGGTTTGAAGATCGGTGTGCAGGATTGTTGAGAGTTGCCGGATGGAACGACACCGGACTTGCCGGTGCGTTTTTCATTGCGGGTGAACCTGTCGCCGTTTCCCGGCAATGGGCTTGTTCTCTATTGACTGATCCATTTCTTTCCGCAGCTGATCGCCTGAAGGTTCTGGCAGCCGGGCCGTCGGCGGACATGCCCGATAAGGGGGCGATCATTTGCTCCTGTTTCCAGGTCGGGAACAAAGACATCGAGACGGCAATGGCGGAAGGCGCCGTCACGGTGCAGGCGATCGGGTCCCGTCTGAAGGCCGGCACCAATTGTGGTTCCTGCCGATCCGAAATCCAGTCCATCCTCGATGCGCATGGCAAGGAGGACGTTCATGAGACCGACATCGCGCAAGCCGGCTGATGCAACGGGCAAACGGAGGCCTGCCCGCGTCGGCGAGCTGGCATGTCTGCCGCTGTTCTTTCCGCTGAAGGGTCGAAAGGTCGTGATTGCAGGCGGGACGGATGCAGCCGCGTGGAAGGCGGAACTTCTGGCCGCCGCAGGTGCAAATGTACATATCTATGCGGAGCGTCCCGGGACCTGTCTTGAAGCATTGCTCGAACAGGGTAGTCCGGGGGGAACACTCAGCTACCATCCCCATTCGTGGACCCCGCAGTGTTTCTCCGGTGCCGCTCTTGCCGTTGCCGATGCGGCAAGCATCGGGGAGGCAAAGGCTTTCCAGTGCGCCGCCAAGGCGGAAGGCGTTCCGGTCAACGTGATCGACAATCCGCAATTTTGCGAGTTTAAGTTCGGCTCGATCGTCAACCGTTCTCCGGTCGTCATCGGAATTTCGACCAACGGTGCGGCTCCGATCCTCGGACAGGCAATCCGCCGGCGAATCGAAACCCTGCTGCCTCACTGCCTCAAGGACTGGGCAGCTCTTGCCAGGCGTGTTCGGTCCACGGTCCTGGACACGCTTTCATCGGGTTCACAAAGGCGCAGCTTCTGGGAACGCTTCACGGATCTGGCATTTTCTGGTCGGTCGGTACTGGAAGCAGCAGAGGCTGGTGGCTTGGAACCGCTTCTGGTCGAAGCCAAAAGTGCCGAATCAGGCAAGGTTACATTTGTCGGAGGGGCGCATGGCGACGCAGAAGACCTGACACTGAAGGCGGTGCGCGCACTTCAGTCTGCCGACGTGATCCTGTTCGACGAACGGATCGATGACAGTGTTCTGGAACTCGCGCGCCGCGAAGCCACACGTGTTCCGGTCGAATTGCGGAGTGGCAGGGAAATCTGCCTTCAAGAAGGTAGCGCCGAAATGATGATCTCTTTGGCAAAACAGGGCAGGCATGTGGTGAGACTGAAAACCGGGGACCCGGTGAACGACAGCCATGCCGGCAAAGAGTTTAGGCGACTGGCAGTTGAGGGCATTCAGGTGACAATTGTTCCCGGCATTGCCTCCACGTGCGCAATGGTTATGGACAGGTGTTTGACGCAACCCCTGCAACCAGGTGCAATCGGTCTCTCCTGCGATACGGCAGCGGCACAACTACACTCTGTTACTGGTTATGAGCCCAGGCACGGAAAAGGCAATACAAACTGAATTCAATCAGGTTTGGTAACCGGCCAGTCTCATGACTTCCAGGCGGTGCAGTAAGGACAAGGGACATACCGTCTCGTTTCCTTAGGTGCTGACATCAGTGATCTTCAGAGGCCAGGAAGCCAAAGCGCGATTTGCGGAAACAGGACCAGCAAAGCGACGAGCAGAAGCGAGCAGCCGATAAAAGGGAACGCCGACGTGTAGATTGTGCGCATCGTTGTTCCCGGTGGCGCAACACCTTTCATGACAAACAGCAGCAACCCGAACGGCGGGGTGGTGAAGCTGATTTCCAACGCAAGCAGCATGATGAGCCCGAACCAAACAGGGTCGTAGTCGAGGCTCAAGGCGAGTGGAAAGAATATCGGAACGGTCAGGAGCATCATGGAAATCTGCTCCATGAACATGCCCAGCAACAGCAGGACCGCAAACATCACCATCAACATCGCGAGTGGTGCAAGATCGAAGGAAATTGCCCAGTTGACGAGCCCGCGCGAGGCTCCCGAGAAGGCCAGCAGCTGGCTGAAAGTCGCTGATCCGAACACGATCAGGTAAGCCATCAAGGTGACCTTGAGTGCACCGGTCACGGACTTGCGCATTGCCTCCCACGTCAGGCAGCGAAACACCGCTGCCAGCACCAGGACACCGAGCGCACCGAAGGCTGCCGCCTCTGAGGGCGTCACGAAACCGGTGATCATGAGGATGATGATGACAACCATCACGCCTACCATCGGGACCACTTCACGCAGGAGCAGCGTGATCTTGCTCAAAAAAGACAAGGGTTCTACGTCGTAGGCCGGCGCCGCGGAGGGGTCCAGTCTGGTCTGGAGCCAGATGGTGCCGATGTAAAATGCAGCCAGGATCAGGCCCGGCAAGACGCCGGCGATGAGAAGGGCACCGACATCGATCTGCGCCAGGGTGGCAAGCAGAACCGCAAGCGCCGAGGGTGGGATGATGATTGCGAGGCCGCCGGTTCCAAGAATGGGACCGATGCTCATGTGTGATTTGTAGCCGCGCTGGCTCATCTCGGGAACCATCAATGATCCGAGCAGGGCCGTGGAACCCATGGATGACCCTGACAGGGTGGAAAAGGCGGTTCCACCCAGAACAGTGACGTAGCTCAATCTTCCCGACAGCCTGCCGAGCAGCTTGTCGATCGCATTGAACATGCGGCCACCCAGGCCTGTGTGAAAAAAGATTTCACCCATCAGCAGAAACAGCGGGATGGGAACAAGCGCGAATTTGGTCAATGACCCCAGGCCATTGTTCAGGAGCTGGCCAATGCCACGCTCGCCGCCCATGAACACCCAGGCACCGATGATATTGGCAGCGAGAAAGGCCAGTGCCACCGGCATGCCCATTGCCATGAGAAAGACGATGACACCCAGAAGCAGGGCGAGCGCTTCATACCACTCCATTATTCGTGGATCCCCGCATCACCGGTATGCATCAGGTCGGAGCCGACGACGAAGCGCATGAATTCCACCGCCATGAGGCCGAAACTGAGGGGGAACGTGATCGTCAGAAGCCAGCGGGGGTAGTAATAGGCGCGGGTGTCGTAGTCGCCCCGTTCAATGTTTTTCAGGAACAACTCCAGCCCCTTCCACGCGAGGATGACGCACACGAGAACGCAGGTAAACGCGACCAGCCGGCTGACAACGCGCCGGGAACCTTCCGGCAACGCTGATGTGACCAGTTCTATATGAACATGACCCTTTTCCCTCACGAGCCAGGGTGCGCCGAGCATTGTCATGTAGAGCAGCCCGTATTCGGATGACGTGAACAGCCAGGCAAAAGGTTGCAGGCCAAGGTTCCGCATCAGAACCGATACCACCACGGAAACCATCAGCCAGACCAGCGTGGCCCCGGCGATCACCGCCATGGCATCAATCAGCGAGCTGTAGATCCTGGAGACAAAAGTCATTCGAAAGCCTCGGCGTGCGACAGATCAGGCCCGCCAAGTTGGCGGGCCAGTCATGCATTCAATTTGCGGCGTTCAAATCGTAGAACAACTCAATCAGCTTGTCGTAATTGTCTGTTCCACCTGGTTGATCCGCCATCAGGCCTTTCATCCGCTCCCAGGTTTTTTCACGTGCGGCCGCCAGGTAGTTGGCTTTTGCGTCGCCTTCCAGCGAGACTACTGTCATGCCGGCTGCGTCAAGCGCGGCAAAATCCTCGTCCCGCTTGGCCCTCAGTGCCGCGACGCTGTCCTTTTCATGCTGGATCGCAACATCCTGCAGAATTTTCTTGGACTCGTCGGACAGCGAATTCCACTTTTCAAGGTTGATGATCACGCCCAGATCGGTCGAAAAGAAACATGGCTCGATACGGTAGTTCAGGAACTCGTTCCATTTCAGGTCGATTAGACCGATTTGCGTCCAGCCGGTCGCGTCGACGACCCCGCGTTGCAGCGCGGAATAGACTTCACCCGTCGGCAAGTCGATTACCTGTGCGCCGAGATAGTTGGTGAAAAATGCGTTGTAGACGTTGTTGCCGCGCAGTTTCAGGCCCTCGACTTCGAGATTGCCGCTCTCGTCGAATGTCGGTGCGTTACGGGTCCAGAGATTGTAGCAAACGCCGCTGTCGAACCAGCCGAGATACTTCAACCCCATCTTTTCCTGGTGGATCTGGTCGATAAGTTCAATGCCGCCATTTTCGCGGGTTTCGACGGCCGTCAGGTTTGAGGCGACCATTGCGTCTTTTTCCGGCAAAGCGCCGCCGTAGAAGGAACCTGGAGTGTAGACCATGTCGACGATGCCGTCCCGGACCGCATCTGGTTGCTGGAACATGCCAATCGCCTCGGGCCCACCACGCACCTCGATTTGCACAACTCCCTTACCGGCCTCGTTCACCTTGTCCACGAAGGAAAGGAAGCTCTTGGTGTAGATGAGAGTTTCCGGGAAAGCATGCACCGCGGTAACCGTGTCTTCCGCCTGCGCGGACACATTCAACAGTGTCGATCCGGCCATGAGGCCAGCCAGTAAAATCCTCTTCATAGTCTCACTCCACTTTACAGGGTGGCTTTTGCCTTATCCCTCTGGTTCTCAGGCTGTAACCCTGATGCTGTTTGCTCTTGCGGTTTCAAGAGCCTCACACGTCCGCCGCCGGCCGGGACCAGGGCGCTGTCTGTTTCAGTTTTGTCTTGTGGTTTTCAATGTCCACCAGGTGCCGCATCGTCAGATCGATGTCGTCCCAGCCATTGATTAGTTTCTTCCGCCAGCTCGGATCGAGCGCGAACGGGACCTGAACGTTGCCTATGCTGAACTGTCCACGGTCCAGCGCGATCATCGCAAGTTCAGCACCATCTCCCAAACACCGGATCAGGAGGTTGAAGTCGTCATCGGACACGCGTGCGGGCAAAAGACCGTTGTTGACTGCGTTGCCTGCAAATATGTCGCCGAAGCTTGGAGCGAATACGGCCTTTATGCCGGCATCAACCAATGCATAAACGGCTGCCTCGCGCGACGAGCCGCTGCCGAAATTGCGCCCGGCGATCAGAATGCTGGCGTGCCGGTGACGGTTCAGCGGGAAATGGGGATGATCCTCGCCGCTGGCGTCTTTGCGCAGATCGTGAAGCAGGAACCGGGCGTAGCCTTGACCGCGCGGTGTCGACATGAAGCGAGACGGAATCAACTGGTCCGTATCAACGTTGTGCAACGGAAATGCGATCGCGTGGCCATCATGTCTGCTCCAGCCCGGCATCACACCCTCCCTCCATTGAGGAGTGGCCGAACGTCGGTAATTGTTCCGGTAACAGCGGCCGCGGCAACCATCGCCGGTGACATCAGATGTGTCAGCGCGCCTGGCCCCTGTCGGCCGCGGAAATTACGGTTCGTCGAGGATGCACAGCGCTTCCCGGGACCAACGACGTCTCCGTTCATGCCGACGCACATTGAACAGCCTGCGGCTGCCCATTCCAGTCCGGCTTCAATGAATATCCGGTCGAGGCCTTCCTGTTCGGCCTGCGCCTTGACTTGCGCCGATCCTGGCGAGACCAGACCGGGAACCTTGGCTTTTCGATCAATGAGCACTGCAGCAGCACTGCGCAGGTCTTCAATCCGGCCATTCGTGCAGGAGCCGAGAAACACCTGATCAACGGGTGTTCCTTCTATCGGGTCGCCTGCGGAAAGATGCATGTAGTTAAGCGAGTCACGAACCGCTTCCGCTTCGCCATTTGCAAAAGTGTTTGGATCGGGAATCGTGGACGTGACCGGAATAGCCTGTTCGGGGCTCGTACCCCAAGTGACAGTTGGCGCGATTTTATCTGCGTCAATATGAATGTCCCGGTCGAATTCAGCTTCTGCATCCGTGTGCAAATGCTCCCACGCTTTTCGCGCCTCATCCCAGGCCTCGTTCCGGGGGGCGTGCGGGCGCCCCTCGAGATACAAAAATGTTGTTTCATCCGGCGCAATCAGGCCGAAGCGCGCACCACCTTCGATCGAAAGGTTGCAAAGTGTCATGCGGCCTTCCATCGAAAGTTCACGGACGGCGCTGCCGGCATATTCGATCGCGTGGCCCTGTGCGCCGTCCGCACCAAGTCCGGCGATCCAGTTCAGCGCGATATCCTTGGCACTGACAGCTGGACCAAGTTTTCCGTCGATGTGCATACGCATGGCTTTAGGCTTCTTCTGCCAGATCGTTTGCGTGGCCAGTACGTGGGCGACTTCGGTAGCGCCGATGCCGAAGGCGAGGGCTCCGAAGGCACCATGGGTGGATGTATGGCTGTCACCGCAATTGATCAGCAGGCCGGGAAGCGTCAACCCTTGTTCAGGTCCGACAACGTGGACAATTCCCTGTCCGGGATCGTCCAGATCGAAAAGACGCAAGTCGTGTTTCATCGCATTGTTGCGCAGGTTTTCGACCATGTAGCTGATCTGCGGGGCCGCAATCTGTGCAAGGCGTCGGGTCGGCGCATAGTGATCGACCACAGCAAAGGTTAATTCGGGTTCGGCAACAGGCAGGCCGCGTGATTCAATCCTAGCGAAGGCATGATGCGACCCTTCGTGCACCAGATGGCGATCGACCCACAACAGGGACGACCCGTCTGCGCGCACCACGATTTCATGTGCAGACCAGAGCTTGTCCAGAAGTGTGCGCGGCACCGTCATGCAGGCTCACCAGGTGGTTTGCCGATGGCGGGTTCCCAGTGCCGCAAACTGCCGTCGCCCACTCGCGTGAGCGGCATTTCAAGCCGGAACATATCTGGCCGGTAAAGCCCCGACAGATATTCCACGCCATTGTCATTGACGTCTCGCACAACGCGTCGCAGGGACAGCAACGCAGAGCCAACGGCAATGCCGAGGGCTTCGGCGACATCCGGTCCCGCCAGAGTCGCTGAAACCGACTGATGTGCATCCTTTATCTGAACACCGCTGAGTTCCAGGAGCTTGAAAAGGGGTGTTGTTGCGAGATCGTTTTCAGAATAGTTCGCGGCAATGGCTGCTGGAACATAGGTCGTCAGGTGGGAAAAAGGTATTCCGTCGGTACTGCGCACGCGGGTCGCAATCTGTACCTGTTCCTTCGGCGCGAGCCTCAAGGCACTTGCGGCGAATTCGGGTGCTGCTCCGTAAGAAAATGAGAGGAGACGAGCCGTTGTGGATTGACCCATTTCGACAAGTTGCGGCATCAGGGTTGCCAGGTTCATCGCCATTGGCTTTCCTGGCTGGCCTGACGTTCGGACTGTTGTTCCGCTTCCGGCACGTCTCACCACGAGGCCTGCTGCAGCCAGAGCGTCCAGTGCTCGGCGGACTGTCACCCTGGATACTCCGAACAACTCAGCCAGTTTCTGTTCAGGAGGCAGGTTTTCACCGTCTTCCAGCCGCCCGTCTGCAATCTGGTCGCGCAGCGAGAGATAGACCTGGCGCGCCTTGGCTCCTTCCGGAAGCAGCGATTTTGCAGGCTTGTTCACGCCGGAATTCCTCCCTAGTCCTTGTTCAATGTTATCGTCGGTTTTGAAAAGATCAAGCTTCTGTACGTTGTATTTGTTTTTTTCTGTATTAACAATACATCTGAATCTGTATTATAGATAATACAAATATCGAGAGGGAAGCTGGATGCCAATCGTTGAACTGCATCTGTTGCAGGGCTATGGATCTGAAGAAAAACGCCGGCTGCACGAGGGATTGACAGATGCCGTTCGCCTTGTGGTACCCGCTCTGCCTGATGCGATTACCGTCCTGATCCACGAGATGGAACCCGACAACTATTCACGCGGGCGTAAGCATCGTGTTGGAGCGCCCGCCCTCCAGGATCCTGGCAATATCGTGAAACGCTATCTGAAGGCGATGGAAGCGCGTGACTTCGACTCGGCACGATCAATGCTGGGCGAAGGGTTTTCGATGCAGTTCCCGGGAGCTGAACCCATGGTGAACCTGAAGGAACTGCTCGACTGGGCAGGACCCCGTTACCGCTTCGTCAAAAAGACCTATGACGGATTTGATGTCATGCAAAGTTCCGGGCCTGAGGCCCTTGTCTACTGCCGGGGCAATCTGTCTGGCGAATGGCCAGACGGAACGGCTTTTGACAGCATTCGATTTATCGACCGGTTTGAAATCGAGGGTGAAAAAATCATGAGACAGGATGTCTGGAACGACATTGCGGAAGCCAGGGCGAAGGCATGAGCGAGATTGATCCCATCACCTTGTCTATCTTGTCTGGTCGCATGGAACAGATCGCGGACGAAATGGATGCGACCCTGTTTCGGGCTGCCTTCAATCCGATCATAGCCGAGGCGCATGACGCCAGCCACGGCCTCTATCATGCGGTCAGTGGCGACACGCTGGTTCAAGGCAAGTCCGGACTGCCGATTTTCGTCGGTGTGATGTCCTTTGCCGTAAAGGCGGTAATCGAAAAGGTGGCTGCCGACGGTGACTTGCAGGACGGTGACATCTTCATCTTCAACGATGCGCATATTGGTGGCACTCATCTGTCGGACATGCGACTGGTCCGCCCATATTTCCGGGATGGAGAGCTTTTCTGTTATCTCGCTTCCGTCGGACACTGGCATGATGTTGGCGGTGCAGTGCCCGGCAACTACAACCCGGCGGCCACAGATGTCTTTCAGGAGGCGTTTGTCCTTCCGCCTGTAAGGTTGGCTCGTGCCGGTGAGGTCAACCGGGACATTATCGATATTCTCCTGCGCAACACGCGTCTGCCTCAATCGGCGATGGGCGATCTGAACGGTCAACTCGGCGCGCTGGATCTGGGTGTCCGGCGCATGGACGAACTGTTGGATGAGTATGGAGCATCCACTATTACGGCTGCCTTGGATGCCCTCGGACACAGAGCGGAAGCCTTGATGCGAGCAGAGCTAGAAGCGATGCCCGACGGCCGATGGGAAGCGCTGGATTATCTCGACAACGACGGCATCACTGATGAACCGCTCGCAATTCGGGTCGGGCTGGAGATCAATGGTGACAGTATGACCCTGGATTTTGCCGGGTCCGCGCCGCAATGTGCAGGTCCGGTCAATATCGCGCTTCCAACGACGGTCGCGACAGCCTATGTCGCGATCAAGCATATCTTCCCGGGATTGCCTGCGAATGCGGGCGTGATGCGCCCGATTGAAGTCAAAGTGCCCGAAGGCTCGCTCCTTTCCGCGGAATTTCCAAGTCCAACTGGTGGATATACCGAGACGATCCTGCGGATGATCGATGTGATTTTCTCCGCCTTCGCCAAAGTTGCCCCGGACCGCGTTGTTGCCAATGCCTATGGTACGATCAATGCCCTGTCGATCGCGGGCAAACGCAGCAATGGGCAGCCATGGGTCATGTTCAGTTTTTACGGGGGCGGCCATGGCGGTTCTCTCGAAGGCGATGGTCTCAATCATGGCAACGCGCCTATTTCAACGGCCACGATCCCGCCGATGGAGATACTTGAAGCCGCTTATCCGGTCATGTTCCGGCAATGGGCGCTGCGGCCCGACAGCGCGGGGGCGGGCAAGCATCGTGGCGGCCTGGGTGCTATCTACGAAATTGAGGTTCTTGAAGAAAATGGCGCCGAGGCCTTTTTGTTTGGCGAGCGCGGGCGCTTCGCCCCCAAAGGCATTGTCGGCGGACAAGATGGTGCGATGAACAGGTTTTCCTATGAGCAGGACGATGATTGGAAAGTGCCGCCTCTGGCTTCAAAGATGCGCGGCATCAAATTGCGGCAGGGTCAGGCGGTGAGACTGGAAACACCTGGCGGTGGAGGATATGGCAAAACCGAAGACAGGGTTGCGGAAAACGTTGCAAGCGATGTTTCGCAAGGTTTTGTCGATGCCGAAAGGGCCGATCAACTCTATGGCACCGCCTGGCGGGAGATTTCCATATGACCGGGCGCATGGTGGGCGTTGACGTTGGCGGTACATTCACGGATGTCTTTGTCCTCAACGAGGCCGACGGTACCGCGTCCGTGGCCAAGGTGCCGACGACACGTCCGGATCAGTCAGGCGGGTTTCTCGAGGGAATCTCGCAACTGGGATCGGATTTTTCGAAACTGTCGGTTGTTGTTCACGGGACGACCGCCGGTACCAACGCACTGCTCGAGCGCAAGGGTGCAGTCACCGGTGTCATCTGCACGCAAGGTTTGCGTGACGTGTTGGAAATGCGCCGCCGCGACCGACCCAGAACCTGGGGCTTGCGCGGTGATTTCGAGCCTGTTGTCGATCGGCGGAATCGGCTCGAAGTCCCGGAGCGAACCTTGGCAGATGGAACAATCCGCACGCCTGTTGATCTGGAGGCCGTCCGCGCTGCGGCCAAAACATTGCACGACCAGGGGTGCAAGGCCGTGGCGATCCTGTTTGCCAATGCATATGCCAATCCGGCAAATGAGCAAGCGGCTGTCGCGGCGGTGCGCGAGATCTGGGCAAACCCCCATGTCTCGGCCTCATCGGAGATACTGCCCGAAATTCGCGAATTCGAACGGTTTTCGACCACAGCACTGAATGCCTATCTTCAGCCGGAAGTGTCTGGTTATCTGGACCGGCTTGAACGAGCGCTGAATTCACGCGGATTCGACGGTGAATTCATGATCGTACAATCCAATGGCGGGGTCATGGCCGTGGAAACGGCTTGCCGTCTTCCGGTGCGAACGGCTCTTTCTGGACCGGCAGCGGGTGTTATCGCCGCTGGATATATCGCATCGTCTGCTGGCTTCGAAAACGTGATAACGGGCGATATGGGGGGCACCAGCTTCGATGTTTCCCTGATAGCCGGCGGACACTCCATGTTGTCTCCGCAAACATCCATTGACTTCGGCATGGTTGTACGGACACCGATGATCGAGATCACGACGATCGGCGCCGGTGGTGGCTCCATCGCCTGGGTTGACAAGGGAGGGTTGCTCAACATCGGGCCGGAGAGCGCTGGATCGGATCCAGGCCCGGTTGCCTACGGTCTGGGAAACGCGCGACCGACGGTAACTGACGCCAATGTGGTTCTGGGTCGGATCGACCCTGACAATCCGATCGGCGGGAAACTGAAACGGCTCGATGTTGATGCCGCACGCGAGGCTATCGACCGGCATGTTGGCTCTCCGCTCGATCTTGGAACACTTCAGGCTGCAGAGGCGATTCTTCGGGTCGCCAATTCGCGCATGGCCGGGGCCATCCGGCTCGTCAGTATCGAGCGCGGCTTCGATCCCAAGCATTTCGCCTTCATGCCGTTTGGCGGCGGAGGGGCATTGCATGCTGGGGCGATGCTGAAAGATGTCGGAATCGCACGCGCGCTCGTCCCGCGCTACCCGGGTGTCACATCCGCCATGGGATGCGTGATTGCGGATATGCGCCAGGATTTCGTGCAGACGATCAATTCGCTTGTGGCAACGCTCGATGAAAGCGCGCTCGGTGACTTCATGCAGGCGCATGTGGACCAGGGACTGGCTCTTCTCGACGCGGCCAGGTCGACCTTTGAAGCACGTGAATTGAGCTTCGAGTTGGATATGGCCTATATCGGCCAGACGCACACGGTCTCCGTGCCAATGAATGTCCTGACAGAAAGCAGCAATGTCATTCCCCCCACACGAGCGGACATCGAAAAGGCGTTCGACGCTGCCTACAAGGCGACATTCGGGCGACTGCTGGAGAATGGTGTTAGGCGGATCATAAATCTGCGCAGTTCGGTCACCGGTATGCGTCCCAAGTTCGATCTTCGGAGCCTTGCCCCCGAAACGACGGATCCTGCCGTTCCGAAAGCCACACGCCAGGTACACTTTGAAGAATCGTGGCTCGAAACGGAGATCTTCGACCGACTGGCGCTTCCCGTTGGAACCGTGATCAAGGGACCGGCGATTCTGGAACAGCCTGACACCACCGTGCTTGTCGAGCCGGATCTGCAAGCGCGGGTCGATGCATTCGGCAATACCATAATCGAACCTTTGGGGGATCAGTCATGAGCGAGCCGAGAACTTGGGACCTTAGAAGGACGGCGCTCCTGACGATCGACCTGCAAAATGACTTTATCCATCCCGAGGGTGCTTATGGACGCGCCGGACAAAGGGCGGACAGCATCGCAGATCTACCCGGCCGGATTGCTCCACTTGCAAGAGCGATCCGCAAGCGGGGCGGTCACTACATTTCTGCCCAGTTCACACTTGTACCCGATGCCAGTGGCGCTCCTTTGATCGCATCCCATCTCAAGAAGCTGCGACCGTTTCTCGGAAAAGGGGACTTTGCACCCGGCAGCTTCGGCAACACGTTGGTTGACGAACTACATCCCGCCGATTTTGTGATCGAGAAGGTCGCCTATTCGGCCTTCTATCAGACCCGGCTGGAATTCATCATGCGTGCAGTCGGCATCGATACACTGATCGTAGGCGGCATTGTTACCAACGGCGGAGTGGCCTCGACGCTTCGGGATGCACACTTGCGAAATATCGATACGGTTCTGCTTACCGATGGCAGTGCCGCATTCGACAGCGAGGTCCATGACGCAACACTTCTGTCGCTGGCGACCGTCACCGGTCAGATGACATGCGTTGAAGCGCTGGATTGGCTGGAGCAAGCATCATGAGTCTGAAAACACGACTTCAGCAGAAGACCATTCTGGTGGCACCGGGAGTCTATGACGGCTTGACCGCGTCGATGGCAACATCTGCCGGGTTCGAGGCGCTCTATCTGAGTGGGGCAGCGGTGTCCTACACTCGCCTCGGCCGTCCTGATATCGGCCTCACCTCGGTGACGGAGATGACAGAGACCATGGCTCTTATTGCAGATCGCACGGACCTGCCTGTGATAATTGACGCCGATACCGGTTTCGGCAATGCGCTCAACGCTCAACGGACCTTGCGCCTTTATGAGCGGGCAGGTGCTTCGGCGATGCAGATCGAAGATCAGACTTATCCGAAAAGGTGCGGTCATCTTGCGGACAAGTCACTCATCCCGGTTAGTGAAATGGCCGGAAAGGTGAGGGCTATGGCCGATGCGCGAAACTCGGATGAAACGTTGATCATTGCCAGGACAGATGCCATTGCGGTTGAAGGGTATCAGGCGGCGATTGATCGCGCAGAAAGCTATCTTGAGGCCGGTGCCGATGTGCTCTTCATTGAAGCGCCGCAGTCACGAGAACAACTTTCGGGTATTGCGCTGAATTTCGAAGGCAGAGTGCCCTTGCTGGCGAACATGGTCGAGGGGGGCGCGACACCGATAACAGGGGCAGAGGACCTGGAAACCCAAGGCTATTCGATCGTCATATTCCCGGGTGGTATTGTTCGCGCAATTGCGCGAACGGCAGGCGATTATTATGAAAGTCTGCGGAAAAACGGCAGCAATCGGCCTTTTGCTGACAGAATGTTCGATTTTGACGGTCTCAATGGAGTGATCGGAACGTCCGATATGCTGGCCAAGGGCGTAGCTTATGACCGAAACGAAAGCTGACGTCGCGCCCGCTCCAGACAACTTTGACCTTTCGTGCGAAACCCTGATTGTCGGGGCAGGGGCTGGTGGACTGGTTGCTGCACTCGCCGCACAGGAGGCGGGACAATCAGTGCTTGTGATCGAAGCCGACCCGGTGCCGAAAGGCTCAACTGCCCTGTCAGCCGGTCTGATACCGGCGGCTGGAACGAAGATACAGGCCAGCGCCGGGGTTGAGGATGATGCCATTGTGTTCGCGGCAGATATTCAGGTAAAGGCTGGCAACGAGAACGATCAGGCGCTTGTCAACCGGCTTGCCTACAATTCAGCTCCCGTGATCGACTGGCTGAGCGAGACGTTCAATCTGCCATTTTCGCTGATAACAAATTTTGACTATCCGGGTCACAGTCGCAGCCGCATGCACGGCTTGCCGACCAGATCCGGTGTCGAACTGATAGATGCGCTCCGGGCAACTTGTGAGGCAGCCGGGATCGATATCGTTTGCGAGCGGCGCGCCGGTCGCTTGTTTATTGAAAACGGGCAGGTAGGCGGCGTCGCCGTTTTGCGGCCGGACGGTGGTGTCGAGACGATCGGTTGCGACAAGTTGGTTCTTGCCTGCAATGGCTTTGGAGGCAATCGTGAACTTGTGCACCGGTTCCTGCCGGAGATCGAAAACGGCTTGTGGTTCGGACACGATGGCAATCGGGGCGAGGCATTGCTCTGGGGGCAGGCCATAGGTGCCGGTCTTGCGCATCTGCGGTCCTATCAGGGGCATGGTAATGTCGCCCAACCCCACGGTATTCTCATCACCTGGGCCGTCATCATGGAAGGTGGTGTGCAGGTCAACAACAAAGGCCGGCGTTTCTGGAACGAGGCCCAGGGGTATTCCGAAGCCGCACGCGTGGTGTTGTCGCAACCGGACGGAGAGGCCTTCGCAATCTTCGATGGCCGTATTGCCGGTATTGCCAGGCAATTCGAAGACTTCAAGCATGCCGAATCTCTTGGAGCGGTCAAGCGAAACGATACGCTTAAGGGGCTTGCCTGTGACCTGGGTTTGCCGCCCGAATCCCTGGTGGAAACGGTTGCCTCCATTCCGTGGAACGGTGTCGACAACTTCAATCGAAAATTCGGAACCGAAGCTTTGCGCTCTCCCTATTGCGGTGTCCGGGTAACCGGCGCCCTTTTTCATACGCAGGGCGGACTTCTAACCGGCGAGGGAGCACGCGTCATCCACACCGATGGATCGGGCTTTGCCAATCTTCATGCATGCGGCGGAGCGGCATGCGGTGTTTCAGGGCGAGGCGACAGGGGCTATCTTTCCGGAAACGGCCTGTTGAGTGCAGTGGTTCTCGGCAAGCTGGCGGGAGAAGCACCCACGGGATAGGTCACGACCAGTTGTTGTATCAAACGGAACGAGGCAACGAGCGGGTGTGCAATAGATGGTGCATGCCACGGATAGCGCGTACGCGAACGACCCGGACAGCTTACTCTGACGCAGAGGGCGATAACAGTTTAGTAGAACAGATTCGATCAGATAATTGTAATATAGAGGGAATTTCTGAAAATAGATCAATTTTTGTAAAATTTGCTCTTTAGCTCTCAACATGAAAATGTAAGAAATGCTTTTTGACTCTACATAGTCGATGTGAAGATCAATCACTGGAGCATTTGTAAACAATGAGTGCAAAGAGTGTTCTTATTATTTTTCTATTGATTTTCTTTCAAAGTAGTGCACGCGTGCTGGCTTGCGTTGAGCCCGTTAGGTTTGAGGACACGCAAGAATATACGCTCTACAAAAGTATTGAAGCAGAATCCAATTCCCAAGACGAGCTATTTAGTAAGTTTGCTGAAGTAAGCGAATTGGGAGTAGCATTGTTTGATTTCAGAAAATTTGTATCAAATTCTGAATACATGATCTTCAATGACATTGGAAATCTACGCGAGAAATGGATTGCAGGAGATAGTATTATTTTACAACATTTTATTATGAATATTTTGCTCATGGAAACAGAGTATATTGTAAACAATGAATATACATATTTTTTAGAAGAAATTATAACAAATAATAAGAAAAATTGTTGGGTTGATGATGAGGAGTTCAGTATAGAATTTTTAAAACACCTGCTTCGTTCGTCGAAATATTTTCCGGAAATCCCACCGCTTGAAGAGACTGTTTCTTTCTTAAGAGAACTTTCGCGGAACATGGGTGATTATGAAATATTGCAAAACTATTTCGACTTGTTGCGTCTGGGTGGATTCAACATGACAAAACAGGAGTTAAGTAAGTGGAGTGGAAGAAATTCTTCAGATGAATTTTGCAGTGGTGTTGCACACTGCATCGAGCAGATAAGAATTGAATTTGAAAATGTGAAAGAAGAGAACGCGAAAGTTACGAAAAGAAAAATGAGAAAGTTGGAATGCGAGGTCAACTATGTGAATTCTTTTGGAAATTCTGTCAGAATAGAATTGTGTTGATCGTAAATTTTTGCTTGAAATTGTGAAACTTCCCGGAATTCTTGTCTTTTTGCGCGCTTTAGAAAGATTTCGCGAATTACGTCCGACATGAGACCAAGAAGTAAGCTGGAAGATGAACGAATTTTGTATCTACCGACAAATCGCCCAGATTTCAGACTCAAAACATGAGCAAAAGCTTGCCTAGAGGCTGAAAGCGGACAGGAAATTGGTGCCGTTCCTTTCGTCTCGCGTTGCAATTCTTCGAATTTCCTTGAGCCTACCGAACTTCCTTTCGATGAAGGTTCTGCCTTTGTAAAGGTGTGGTGAGAAACAGGTCTTCATTTACGTGTTTTGAGGAGCGGGATGTTTGGACGAGAGCCCAGCGCTTTTACGGTCCTGCGGATACGATCGCTGCCGTAACCATTGTAGCTATGCAAAACACCTTTTGCCGGAACATGCGGCAAGAGTGCCTCTGCTCCGGTGAAATCTGAGACATTGGCACCGGCGAGGTGGAAGGCGATTGGCCTTCATTTGTTGTCGCTGAGCGCGTGGGTTTCGGTTCCCGGACCAACACGAACTCAGCCCTCAGCATTGACCAGAGTCCTTTTGGTCACCATGAGCGACCTGGTGCGTCCAAATTGCTGTACTGTCGATCATTACTTCAAACGTTCGGTCGCCGGTTTGGGACAGCGTGTTGACGATAACTGTCCAGACACCCTTCTCAGATCGCCGAACATAGCTATTCTAGAGTGTTTTCGTCGGTCCAAAGACACTTGGCACAACGACCCAACGACCGCTCGACTCAAGACTTGTATAATACCGCTGATCTCTCGCCGAGCATCGACGCGAACCTTGCCTCGTGTATCAGTAAGTAGAAGCGGTTGTAACTTTGAAAACTGCTCATCGCTGAGCCAGAAGAACCCATCAGATATCGACAAACGCCAGTTCAAGAGTTTGAACTTGGACTTCATCTGATTTGCTTAGCGACGATACGGTTCCAAAGCCTAGGCGGATAGCTGCGAGTTCAATAAGAGTCAGTGATTTTCCCTCTGTCCAAGTGCGCCATCGATGTGTTCATGAAAACAGAGGGTGGGCTGCCCGTGGGCTACTGAGTATCTGTCGTCCGCTTCCGTCAGACGATGCCGCCACCAGCCCCAGAGACCTCCGGCCGCGTTTCTGCGATCGCGGCCCGGTAGCCGGAGGTGCGATACGTGGCGACGGGATCGATGGCACCGTTTTTTTCAGCTCGCGCCATTGCCAGGATCGGTTCGACATCCGTGCGGAAGGCGCGTTTCAGCGTAGTTGTCGCCATCAGCGCATCATTGCTTTCCTGGTGTTCCTCAAGTGCCTGCCGGTCGACCAAAAATGCCTGGGCATAGGCGCGCTGGACCTCCATGGCACTGATCATCAGGCTTTCGATCGGATCGGTCACGTTGTGGGACTGGTCGAGCATATGCGCCGGATCGAAACCGGAAACATTGCGCGTCTCCGCATCCACGAGTTCGTTGAAGACCAGAAAGAGGCGGTAGGGATCGATGGACCCGGTATCGAGATCGTCGTCGCCGTACTTGCTGTCATTGAAGTGAAATCCGCCGAGCTTTCCGAATTGTATGAGGCGCGCAACGATCATTTCGATATTCACGTTGGGCGCGTGATGGCCAAGATCGACAAGGCAATATGCCTTGTCTCCGAGTTCCTGCGCGATCAGGTAGTTCGTCCCCCAGTCCTGAACCACGGTTGAATAGAAAGCCGGCTCGAAAATCTTGTGCTCGGTAAACAGCTTCCAATCGTCCGGCAGGGCAGAGTAGATCGTTTTGGTCGATTCCAGGTATCGCTCGAATTGCCTGATGAAATGGGTCTGGCCGGGAAAGTTCGCCCCGTCGCCAATCCAGATTGTCAATGCCTTCGAACCGATGGCTTTGCCGATCTCGATGCATTCAAGATTATGATCAATCGCCTGGCGCCGGGTCGCCGCATCCGTGTGTGTCAGCGATCCGAACTTGTAGGAATGGGATTGATTGTCCTGGTCCTGGAACGTATTGGAATTCATGGCGTCGAAACCGAGGCCGAGCGAAGCCGCCTTGTCTTTCAGGCTTGCCGGGTCTGCCTTGTCCCAGGGGATATGCAATGAAACCCGGGGTGTGGCCCGGGTGAGCTGATGGATGACGGCACAGTCCTCAAGCTTGTCAAAGATGTGACGCGGTTCGCCTTTCCCTGGAAAACGGGCGAACCGCGTACCTCCGGTGCCAACGCCCCAGGAAGGAATCGCGACGCCGTACGCGGCAACCTTGTCCTTGATTTCTTCAATGGCAATTCCCCGGCGATCAAGTTGTTCCCCGAGTGCTTCATAGTCGCGCTTCAGCTCCGCCGCACGCGCATCGTTTTCCTGAGAAACAAGAGAGGCGTCGATCATGGTCATTGCTGTCTCTTTTACCGTGTGAAGGATTGAACGTTGCCGGCGTCGACATTGACGATATTGCCGGTCGACTTTGATGAGGCTTCAGACGCAAAGAAATAGGTCGCCTCGGCAATATCTTCCGGAAGGACGGACCGTTTCAGAAGCGACCGCTGCCGGTAGTGGTCCTCCAGTTCCGAAGTGTCCTTGCCATAGGCCTGCGCCCGTTCCTTCAGCCAGTCGCCAGACCAGATTTTCGAGCCGCGCAGGACAGCGTCTGGATTGACCACATTGACGCGGATGCCGTCCGGTGCGCCTTCCAGTGCCAGGCAGCGCGCCAGATGAATTTCCGAAGCCTTTGCCGTGCAATAGGCACTCGCGCCGGGTGAGGCTGCAAGGCCATTCTTCGACCCTATGAAGACAATGGAGCCACCCAGGTTCTGTGTTTTCATCATCTGAAACGCAGTGCGCGATACCAGAAAGTAACCCGTCGACAAGATGGACATGTTCAGGTTCCACAGATCCAGGGTGGTTTCCTCGATCGGGGCGGAGGAGGCAATACCGGCATTGGACACCAGAAGATCAATGCCGCCAAACTCCATGGCCGCAGCCACAAATGCCTGCGCAACAGCGTCTTCTTTGGTCACATCCATCACGACGGTGCGCACGACATCCCGTGAATGCCGTGCAATCAGGGTGTCCGCCGTACGTGTCAGTGCCTCCTCATCGATGTCGGCGAGTACGACACAGGCTCCTTCGCGCAAGAACCGTTCTGCCGTTGCCGAGCCGATACCGCCGGCCCCTCCGGTGACGAGCGCGATCTTGCCAGCGAGGCTCTTGGGTTGCGGCATGCGTTGCAGCTTTGCTTCTTCAAGGAGCCAGTATTCGATGTCGAAGGCTTCCTGTTCCTGTAACCCGCAATAGGTGGAAACACTCGACGCACCGCGCATCACGTTGATGGCGTTGGTGTAGAATTCTCCGGAAATTCGGGCAGTAGCCTTGTTCTTGGCAAAGGTAATCATGCCGACACCTGGCACAAGGTAGACAACCGCGTTCGGATCACGAAGGGCAGGGCTGTCGTCGTGGCGGCAGCGCTCATAATAGGCCGAATAGTCCTTGCGATATGCATCTATCGCGTCTTCAAGCCCGGTCAGTGTCCTGTCTACGTCTGGTTTGGCGGGATCGAATGCAACGACCAGCGGCCGGATCTTTGTGCGCAGAAAGTGGTCCGGGCAACTGGTGCCGAGCGCCGCAAGGGTCTCCATATCGCTGGAACAGATGAATTCGAGCACCGCGTCGCTGTCGTCGAAATGACCGACCATGTGTTGCTTGCCTGATATCATTCCCCGAATGGCCGGCATCAGCCGTGCGGCAACCGCGCGACGGTCGGCCGGGGCAAGGGCCCGGTGCTTCAAACCGCCGAACGCGTCAACGCCATCCGTCTTATTTTCAAACCAGGCGATTGCGCTGTTGATGATTTCCAGCGTTGTCTCATAGCAGTCTCTTGCATCGTCGGCCCACGTGAAAAGGCCGTGGCTTTCCAAAACGACACCACGTGCGTCTGGGTTCTCAATACAGAATTTTTCAAGCCAGAGTCCGAGTTCGTAACCAGGCCGCTTCCAGGGAAGCCAGCCTATGTCGTCACCGAATATCTCCTGTGTGATCGCCTTGCTGTCGCTGGCGGCTGCAATCGCTATGATGGCGTCCGGGTGCATGTGATCAACGTGTTTTTTCGGAACATAGGCATGCAGGGGCGTGTCGATCGACGCTGCGCGCGAATTGAGATTGAACGTGCAGTGAGGCAGATAGCCGACCATCTCGTCTTCAAAGTCAACGCCGCGGTATAGCCCTTTAAGCGCATGGAGTTTTTCCATGTAGAGCGTCGCAAATCCATCCATTTTGATCGTGCCGACATCTCCGCCCGATCCCTTTACCCAAAGGACTTCCGCCGCCTGGCCGGTCAGAGGATCCGTCTCCATGGCCTTGGCGGACGTGTTGCCGCCGCCATAATTGGTGATGCGCTTGTCAGAACCGAGAAGATTGGACCGGTAAAGCAAAAGTTCCGGGTCATTCATGCCCGATGCTTTCCCCTTGTCCCAAAGATTTTCAAGTCGGGACCCGGCCGTGGAATTCAACATCATGTCCTCCCAGTATATGCCTGACGGCATTTGCGTGTTTCGCTAAACCCTCGCTTGAACCAACCCTCATGTCAATCAAAAACGCGCAATTTCAGTCATATTGCACTGCAAAATGATCAAAAATGATGTTTGGTGATTGACAATGAGTGATTTTGGTGAAAACGTTTGATGACTGGGAGGACTGCATGCACGAAAAAGAACGCCACAGGATCATACTATCCGCGGTTCAGGATCGTCCGGTCGTGACGGTGCAGGAGCTCGTGGCATTGACCGGGGCTTCTGAGGCGACCATACGCCGGGATATTGCACAGCTGCATATGCAGCAGAAGCTTCGCCGAGTGCGTGGTGGCGCGGAATCGATCCACCCGCCGCAATTTGTCGGGTTGGCCGGACGACCGTTCAGCGTCAATGAGACAATCAATATTGCTCAAAAACGTGCAATTGCGCTGAAGGCAGTCGAGCTGTGCGAGGACGGCGATGCGATCATCATAAACGGCGGCACCACGACATTTCAGATGGTGCATCCGCTTGCGACCAAACGCTTGCAGGTGTTCACGAATTCATTTCCGATTGCTGAGCATCTTCTGAAGAATTCAAAAAACACCATCATGCTTTCCGGTGGAGTGATCTACCGGGAACAGAATATCATTCTCAGCCCGTTTGATAACGATGTGACGCGTAATTTCTATGCGAGCCGAATGTTCATGGGTGCGCAGGGCCTTGGTGCGCTCGGCCTCATGGAAGCGGATCCTTTGCTCATTCAGGCCGAACAGAAACTGATCGGTCAGGCTGACGAACTGGTTGTCCTCGCGGACAGCTCGAAATTCAGTGCAAGGTCGAGCCTGATCCTGTGCCCGCTCGATCGCATTTCCACCGTCATCACGGATGACCGGATACCCGACAGCGCGGCCAGCATGCTCGAACAGGCAGATATCAAGGTGATTGTGGCGGACGTCAGTGCCGCACAGACCAAGGCGACCTCTAACGGGTAGCCGACTTTCTGCCGGACCTTGGGAGGGCCGGCAGTCATACAGGGAGGAAGCAATGAAACTATTCAAGTCACTGTTGACCGCGACGGCAGTCGCTGCGGTATGCCTTGCCGGACCTGCGCAAGCGGAAGACAAGAGGATCGCACTGGTCGTGAAGGCCCTTGGCATCGGCTTTTTCGAAGCTGCTGCAAAGGGAGCGGAGGAAGCCGCCAAGGAATTGGGTGATGTTGAAATCATCTATACCGGTCCGACGGACACCACAGCGGAAGGTCAGATTGAAGTCATCAACGCGCTGATCGCCCAGAAAGTGGATGCAATCGCCATCTCCGCAAACGATCAGGATGCGCTGGTTCCCGCACTGAAGAAGGCCATGGATCGGGGTATCACCGTGATTTCCTGGGATTCCGGAGTTGCGCCGGAGGGACGCCAGCTTCATCTGAACCCGTCTTCAAATGAGTTGATCGGCAATATGATCATCAAGCTGGCTGCCGATCATTTGCCGGATGGAGGCGACGTCGCGGTGCTCTCGGCGTCTGCAACCGCCACGAACCAGAACATCTGGATCGAGGAAATGAACAAGGTCAAGGACAACTATCCCGGCATCAATGTCGTCGCCACCGTCTATGGGGACGATCTTGCTGACAAGTCCTACCGCGAAGCACAGGGCCTGATGCAGACCTATCCGGATCTCAAGGCAATCATTGCACCGACGTCGGTCGGGATTGTTGCTGCAGCACAGGCTGTTTCAGACGCGGAGAAGGCCGGACAGATCAACGTAACCGGTCTCGGCTTACCGTCCGAGATGGCCGGTCACATCGATTCCGGCGCGTCCAAGTCCTTTGCGATCTGGAACCCCATTGATCTCGGATACTCCGCCACCATGCTTGCCTATAATCTTGCGACCGACAAGGCCGAGGCAAAGCCGGGCGGTGAAATTCCGATGGGTCGCATGGGGTCGTTGACCCTGAACGACAAGAACGAAGGCGCGATGGCCGATCCGTTCACATACGACAGTTCGAACATCAACGATTTCAAGGACATCTTCTAAGCTTGGCCCCGAGACAAACTTGAAGGAATGGTCAAAAACCCGGTGCCTTGTGCACCGGGTTCTCCAACACAAACAATACCAGGTTCCAGGACATGGTCATGCTTGCGAATATGCAGGGCATAAGTGAAGTGCATTCGCAGTCAGGCGAAAAAATCGAGCCTCTCCTGTCATTGACGGGGATCTCCAAGTCCTTTCCTGGCGTCAAGGCACTGTCAGATGTTTCTCTGGAGCTCTATCCCGGGACGGTGACCGCGCTGGTTGGTGAAAACGGTGCCGGTAAATCGACTATTGTGAAGATCCTGACGGGTATCTACCAGCCGGACGAAGGCGAGATCTCGATTGATGGACAACCTGTCACCTTTTCAACCGCACAGGATGCGGGCGAGGCAGGTGTCACGGCCATTCATCAGGAAACAGTTCTGTTCGACGACCTGTCGGTTGCAGAGAATATATTCATCGGCCACGCTCCAAAAACCCGGTTCGGATTGATTGACCGCGCTGCGATGGCCGCAAGGGCACGAGCGTTGCTGGAGCGTGTCGGTGCGCAGATCGATCCCGCGGTCACGTTGAGAGACCTCGGCATTGCAAACAAACACCTCGTTGCAATTGCCCGTGCACTCTCGATCGACGCAAAAATCGTCATTATGGACGAACCGACCGCATCGCTGTCCCACAAGGAAATCGAAGAAACATACGAACTCGTTGAACGGTTGAGAGCGGAAGGAAAGGCTATCCTTTTCATCAGCCACAAGTTCGACGAAATTTTCCGCATCGCGGACCGCTACACCGTATTCAGGGATGGGCAGATGGTCGGCGCCGGCAGGATCGATGACGTCAATGAAAGGGAGCTGGTCAAACTGATGGTCGGCCGCTCCGTCGATACGGTCTTTCCAAACCGGTCGCCACAGCTTGGTGAAGAAGTCCTCAGGGTTGTCGGTTATTCACATCCCACGGAATTCGAGGACATCGGCTTCACGTTGCGAGAAGGGGAAATTCTCGGGTTTTATGGCCTCGTCGGCGCTGGTCGCAGTGAATTCATGCAGGCGTTGTTCGGTATCACCAGACCTTCCAAGGGGGCAATCCGGATTGACGATAAGATTGCAGTCATCCGCGATCCAAACGCGGCGATCAGTCATGGCATCGTCTACGTTCCAGAGGATCGCGGGACACAGGGAGCCATCAAGGGACTGCCGATTTTTCAGAACATTTCGCTGCCGTCGCTGAAGGAAACGTCAAAGAACGGTTTCCTGCGGTTGGCAGAGGAATTCAAACTCGCGAGAGATTACACGCAACGCCTAGACCTGCGAGCTGCAGCGCTTGACCAGGATATCGGCGAGCTATCCGGCGGCAACCAGCAAAAGGTCGTGATCGCAAAATGGCTGGCAACCAAGCCGCGCGTCATCATTCTCGATGAACCGACCAAAGGGATCGACATTGGTTCCAAGGCCGCAGTTCACGAATTTATGGCCGAACTGGCCGCCGAAGGTCTGGCGGTGATCATGGTGTCTTCCGAAATCCCTGAAGTTCTCGGAATGTCTGACCGTGTTATCGTCATGCGGGAAGGGCGCATCGCAGCCGAATTCAATCGTGAAGAGATGACCCCGGAACAGCTGGTTCGGGCTGCCGCCGGTATTGCTGAGGTCCTGACATGACCTGGTCCGGCTGGAAATCCCGGGAGGTGATCCTTGCAGGTGCAATCATTCTTCTCGTCGGCATGATCGCATCAAGGTTCCCGGCTTTCATCGCGCCGTCCAACCTTGCCAACGTCTTCAACGACACTTCTCCCCTGATCATACTTGCGCTTGGGCAGATGGTGGTGATCGTAACCCGTTGTATCGACCTGTCCGTTGCCGCCAACCTCGCGTTGACCGGAATGGTGGTCGCGATGCTTAACACCGCCATGCCCGATTTGCCGGTTCCGGTCATACTTGCAATCGCGATCGGTCTTGGTGCCCTGATGGGGCTCATCAATGGGCTGCTTGTCTGGAAGCTGAGCATTCCGCCCATCGTCGTTACACTTGGTACCATGACAATTTATCGGGGGATCATCTTCCTAATTTCCGGAGGCGAGTGGATAAACGCGCACGAAATGAGCGATGCCTTCAAGGCTTTTCCCCGTGAGACCATTCTCGGATTGCCCGTGCTGTCCTGGATCGCGATCCTCGTTGTTCTGGCTTTTGTCGTTCTGGTGGGACGAACGGCTCTCGGCAGGGCTTTCTTCGCAGTTGGCGGCAATCCGCATGCCGCCGTCTATACGGGCATCAATGTCGGCCAGACACAATGTACGGCCTATGTGATTTCCGGCGCTTTGGCCGGTTTGACCGGTTATCTCTGGGTGGCGCGTTACGCAGTGGCCTATGTCGACATTGCCGGTGGTTTTGAGCTGGAAGTCGTTGCGGCTTGTGTGATCGGTGGCATATCGATCGCCGGTGGTATCGGATCGGTCGGCGGGGCATTGCTTGGCGCGCTGTTTCTCGGCATCGTCAAGAATGCTCTGCCAGTCATCAACATTTCACCTTTCTGGCAACTCGCCATCTCCGGTAGCGCGATCATCATCGCCGTTGCCTTCAACGCAACGTCAAGCCGGTCCAAGGGCCGCGTGATTTTGAAAAAAGCGGAGCATGCAACATGAGTGTCACCGCAAACGAGACCGGCAGCATCGAGCGCAAGATTCCGGACCGGCTGAAGTCTCCGGCGCAACGCTTCCTGGCGAGCTGGGAACTGCTCCTGCTTGGTGTCGCGGTGGCGGTATTCACATTGAACAGTTTCGCGTCGCCCTATTTCCTTGATGCCTGGAATCTCTCCGACGCGACCTACAACTTCACCGAAAAAGCGATGATTGCCTTTGCGATGGCACTTCTGATCATTTCAGGTGAAATCGATCTCTCGGTCGCCTCGATCATCGCACTTGCCTCAACAGCAATGGGGTTTGCGGTTCAGATGGGAGCCGATACGTCGGTCCTGATCCTTGTCGGCGTTGGTGTCGGGCTTTTGTGCGGTGCCTTCAATGGCGTGCTCGTGACCGGCCTCGGGTTGCCGTCCATTGTGGTTACCATTGGTACCATGAGCCTGTTTCGCGGCATTTCCTACATCGTACTGGGTGACAAGGCCTACACGGGGTACCCGTCCAGCTTCGCATTCTTCGGACAAGGATATGTATGGTGGGCGGTTTCGTTTGAATTCGTGCTGTTCGTCCTGTTCGCGATTTTCTTTGCCATTGTTCTGCACCGCACCAGTTTCGGCCGTCTCGTTTATGCAATCGGCAACAATCCGGTAGGTGCCTTGTTTTCCGGTATTCAGGTAGCGCGGGTCAAGTTTGTGTTGTTCCTGCTGACCGGGGCAATGTCCGGCGTGGCCGCGATCTGTCTCACGTCTCGCCTTGGCGCGACACGTCCTTCAATCGCCTTTGGCTGGGAGCTGGAAGTCGTGACCATGGTTGTGCTGGGTGGCGTCAGTATTCTTGGCGGCGCCGGATCAATCCCCGGAGTGGTGATAGCGGCCTTCGTTATGGGCATGGTAACGTTCGGTTTCGGTCTGTTGAACGTTCCAGGCATAGTCATGTCGATATTCATCGGATTGCTGTTGATTGCCGTCATAGCCCTGCCTCGTATCGCGCGACAGGTTCTTGCTCGAAGGAGGGGGTGATATCATGGAAAAACTGGCCTTCAAGATGATCCTCAATCCTGGAATGGAAGCGGAATACAAGAAACGGCACGATGAAATCTGGCCCGAACTGGCCGCTCTGCTGAAGTCTGCCGGAATTCGTGACTATTCAATCCATCTCGACCGGGACACCAACATTCTGTTTGGGGTGTTGTGGCGTGAGGACGGGCACAAGATGGAGGACCTGCCGGAGCACCCGGTCATGCAGAAGTGGTGGGCACACATGTCGGACATCATGGCTTCCCAACCGGACAACAAGCCGGTGGTGAAGGAGCTTGAAACCGTCTTTCATCTGGATTGATATCAAATGGGCTCAATCCGGCGTGTGGGTGTGATCGATATCGGCAAGACCAACGTCAAGGTCGCTGTGGTTGATCTGGAAAATCAGACCGAGATTACGGCTCTGAAACGAGCCAATACCATTGTCGCTGCCCCCCCTTATCCGCATTACGACATTGAAGGCCACTGGAATTTCATTCTTGAGGCGCTTGCAAGTCTGTACAGCCGATATCCGTTTGACGCGATTGCGACGACAACACATGGCGCAAGCATCGTTCTCCTGGACGCAACAGGCAATCTCGCGACACCTGTTCTCGACTATGAGCACGATGGTCCTGACGCCGTGGCTGAACAATATGACGAGGTCCGACCGAGTTTTGCCGAGACCGGTTCACCACGGCTTTCTGTGGGATTGAACGTTGGTGCTCAGCTCCATTGGCTGCTTGAGACCGATCCTGCACTGGCAGAGCGTGTTGCCGTGATCACTACTTATCCGCAGTACTGGACGTATCGGCTGACCGGCAAGCTCGCCAACGAAGTGACTTCGCTTGGTTGCCACACGGACCTGTGGAATCCAGAACAGCGCCGCTATTCTTCATTGGTCGAGCGACTTGGCCTGACACGCAAGATGGCACCCGTTCGGAAGGCGGTTGATATTGCGGGGACCCTGTTGCCCGACGTCGCTGAAAGTGCCGGTCTGCCACCTGATCTGGTTGTCAGTTGCGGCATTCACGACTCGAATGCCTCGCTCCTGCCGCATCTTCTGCAACGCCAGGCGCCATTTTCCGTCGTATCGACCGGAACCTGGGTGATTGCTCTTGCTATTGGTGGCGAGGATGTCGTGCTTGATCCAGAGCGCGACACGCTGACGAACGTAAACGCATTCGGCGATCCTGTTCCTTCTGCACGTTTCATGGGCGGGCGGGAATTCGACACCGTCATGGAAGGACGTCCTGGTGTTGCGTCCGAAACTGAAGTCTTGAGTGTTCTTCAAAAGCAAATCATGCTCTTTCCGGCAATCGAGACACGATCTGGTCCCTATCAGGGCCGATTGGCTCGTTGGAGTATCGAGGAAGCCTCGCTGACCGATGGCGAGCGTTTTGCAGCCGTGTCCTGTTACCTGGCAATGATGACCACGGAGTGCCTGAGGATGATTGGAGCAAGTGGCCTTGTCATCGTCGAGGGGCCTTTTGCTCAAAACGCGCTTTATCTGGACCTGCTTCGGGCTGCGACCGCGAGGGACGTTGAGGTTTCGCAAGGCGCATCGACTGGCACGAGTATCGGCGCTGCCTTGCTTGCTTGCCATGACAAGTCAGTTGCCGGAAAGAACTATTCTTCCTTAGAGGGAAAACGAGTGCCGGATCCATTGCTCAAAGCCTATGCCGATGCCTGGATCAGGCAGACGGTGAACTGAGACAGTTCAAATCGACGGCGATTACGATCGTTATTCGGTTCGAATACCCTGAAAGCTTTCCGGTTACGCGGACTTTCGCTCTCCTGTTCAAAAAGAGAAGGAACTGGAGCCAATGTGCCTCACCGGGATCAGCGAGAAGTGGCTCGCAAACGAGGACCGAATCCACTTTATGGTACACACGCTCGTCACACCAAGGTATCGCGTGTCATTACTGAATGATGTTAAGCAAAATGGTGAACACGATTAGTTAAAATCAGTGTCGTATCGGGAATGTGTGAAAAAGAGAGTGTTTTATTACGGCACACCTGCTTCTGTTTGGGTCTGGGTTTGCGGAATTCAATTTGAGAAATTTTTCAAAAAAACGCCCAAGCGGTTGAATTAAAACAAATAAAACGTTTACTTTACGTTAAGTATGATTTGGTCGGGGACTTGCAAGTGAACTTCCAGAACAAAGGCCTGGAGGAGAAACCTGATGTTGTCCAAAGCCGAATTGATGACCCCCGATCATGTTTCCGGGGTAATTGGTAATTCTCGTAGTGAAGATGTATTTCTATTTGATCTGAATGCCATCGTGCCGGGTACGTTTTGTCAGATCGATCATGATTTCGCCGACTATTTGCTTGAGTTCGCGCGCCTCAGGCCATGTTACCTGCTTGCCAGCGTCAGCTACAACGACCTGCTGTCTCGCCTGCCGTCCAGAGTCAGATTTGCTTTCAAGGGAATATTCGTTTCTTCAGGAGCAGAATTGTGGCGTGAGGACGAGGTTCTGGAACGGCGCGAACACCGTTTTTCAGACGATCTCTACGAGCACCTGGTCAAGGTTGTACAGAACAGCGGCTATCAGGAAAAAGTTGCGCCGTTGATCGAAAACGGACCGGCGACCCTGAGGGTTTGCCTTGCGGGTACGCAGGCCACGATCGGTCAATTGAAGGCCTACCTCAAGTGGGAAGAAGAGCATTGCGAGTTACCCAAAATCGTCAATGAACTCAAGGCAAAGTTTCCCGATCACGAGGTTTGTCAGGATTCAGGCTCCAGTCTTCTGATTTCACCCAATACCTTTTCATCTGCTCTAGTCCGCCAGCACATCACGACTGAACATGAGGGCGCACGTTTCATCGGTTACATGTCCAACCGAGCGGTGAACAGTTTTGCCAGGCCGTTGTGTGACGTCTTGTCGGGGGCGGATCTGTTGACGGAAGTCGGCGGACCGAGTGATCTCAGTCAGCTCATGAGCTACGATATCCGCCGAGCTTCTGCGCGTGACTTGTTGGCAGCTGAATAGCGGTTGCGACTTCGGACTTTGAACTGCCATTGTTGGTGACGCGGCTGGAAGAAAATTGCATTTCGGAGGATGCCGGGAAAAGCTGCACGCGTCGCAAATGAGTGCACAAGTGTGCCTGGACTGGAGCAACACCGGGAACATTTGTGCGCCTGGTCAGGACCGCGAGTATTGCCTGCATATTTTGTTCTTTTGAATTAGATGTTGATCGAAGCTCTTTCGTCAGTCGGTTTGATATTTCGCTTCAAACCGCGACGCTCCATCCGGTCAGATAAAGTGTCCACTCAATGACAACGGGAGAAGCAGTGGTTACTGCGGTTGCCGATCAGCGATCTTGGGACGCATGCTGTCCTGTACATGCCGAGGCTTTATCGCGAAACCGGTGTCAACAGCATCTGGGGAGCCTCTGGCCGAATCTGATTTCTGTACGATTTTCGATAACGCAACGCCGGTTTCCAGTTTGACACGGGACCCTTTCACCAAACTTGTCTTTTTGAGCAAATTGATTTGTGATGAACGGCAAAGCGGTAAACAAGGGGAGGCGCGTTACCCATGGACAGCTGGGTTGCACAGGCCGTGGGCAGGATTAACGCGGATTCCCACAGATCCGCCGATACGCACCTTTTCAATCTCCGGGTCCCACGGCTCGAAGGCATTGATATATACCTGAAGGACGAAAGCACTCATCCGACCGGAAGCCTGAAGCACAGGCTGGCCCGCTCCCTGTTTCTTTATGCGCTTTGCAACGGCAAGATCAGGGAAGGCACAACGATCGTCGAAGCGTCGTCGGGCAGTACAGCAGTATCTGAAGCCTATTTTGCCAGGATGATCGGCGTTCCCTTCATTGCGGTCGTTCCGGAAAGCACGGCCCACAGCAAGATCAGGCTGATCGAACTTTACGGCGGCAAGATCCATTTTGTCGGATCGGCGCCGGAAATGCATGACGCATCGATCGAGCTGGCACAGTCGATTGATGGTTATTTCATGGATCAGTTCACCTATGCGGAGAGAGCGACAGACTGGCGCGGCAACAACAACATTGCAGAGAGCATTTTCCGGCAGATGGATTTCGAACCGCATCCGGTGCCCAGGCGGATCGTCATGAGTGCGGGAACAGGGGGCACATCGGCAACGCTTGGGCGTTACATTCGCTACAATAGCTACGAAACGGAATTGACGGTCGTCGATCCGGAAAATTCGGTTTTTTACGACAGTTACAAAACTGGCGACGGGTCGCTCGTTTCAGGTAAGTCGAGCCGGATCGAAGGTATCGGCAGGCCGCAAGTGGAGAAGTCATTCCAGCCGGGTGTGATTGATGACATGATCAAGGTGCCGGATGCTGCCAGCGTTGCAACAATTCTCTGGCTGGAACAGATCATCGGCCGCAAGGCAGGGGCGTCGACCGGTACGAACCTCTGGGGGGTCATGCAGGTGGCAGGCGAAATGATGGAAAAGGGCGAACGCGGCTCGCTCGTAACGTTGATGTGTGACAGCGGCGAACGGTATCTCGACAGCTATTACGACCCGGCATGGGTGCGCACGCATATTGGTGATGTCAGCGCTTATGCAGAACAATTGGCCCGCTGGAACTGACGGAAGTATTCAAGAAATTCAATTGAATGATGTAATTCGGCAATGAGCCGGGGCAATGTCTCTTTGTCTGATTGCCGCCAAAATCAATGCGGAGTTTGAGATATCATCTAGCGGTCGAAGGCCTGAAGGAGGAGTGACATGACATTCAAAAACTCGTCCCGTCTTTCGTGAGGCAATTCGTTCACGTTTGAAACGTGGTAGTCGAGCGTGAGGATCATGTCCCACATCTCGGTCAGGTTGGCCGCGTCGACCGCCGTCTTGAGCTTGACCGATGACATTGTGGCCGGGGTGACGTGCTCGGGTACATACGCCCCCAAAGATTTGTGAAATGTATGATGCATATGTCCCGCTCTTGTTTTGATTGTTATGTCTTTTCAAGCCTTGCCGGCAGGCGCACAGTTTTTGTGTGATCGTGTCCCATCACGATCGACGCCATTGCTCCGGCTTCCCGCTAAAGTAGCTATTAACACAATATGCATGCAGGTGTCATCTCAACAGGTCGTCATTGTCAGGAAAGAGTGGAAAGAAACAAGACCCGGTTTGTGGACACAAGAAAGGCTCTCGGAGCGTTGAACCGCAAGATCGGTGTTGACTTCCGGGCAAAAGGTGGGAAAAAGCTTTTTCAGCAGATGAGACTCTGACGAACCGATTTGAGGCATTGTCATATGGTTGCGCGCATCTATCGTCCGGCAAAAACCGCTATGCAGTCCGGCAAGGCGAAAACCCATCGATGGGTTCTGGACTACGAGCCGGAAGTTGCAAAGTCTGTCGAGCCGTTGATGGGCTATACCTCATCTTCGGATATGAAACAGCAGGTCCGGCTGTACTTCGATACGCAGGAAGAAGCCGTCGCTTATGCCAGACGCCACGGCATCGCGCACCGGGTCGAAAAAGCACAGGAGCGAAAGGTTCGCGGGGCTGCTTATGCAGACAATTTCAAGTTCAACCGGGTCGCGCCCTGGACGCATTGACTTAACCGAACTGCCCGGAACGTGACGCTGTTGGCAATCAGATCCGGAATGCCTGTTGAAACCTCGAAACACGGATCGACAGAAACGCAAAAAGTATTCTAAGGCATGTCGCAACGTTTTTAAGGCTGCCGCACAATCAGGCCCCGTAGCTCAGCTGGATAGAGCACTCGCCTTCTAAGCGAATGGTCACAGGTTCGAATCCTGTCGGGGTCGCCATTTTTCAAAAAAATCATAATATATAATTACAAACAATGGCTTGGTAATTTGGGACGTGGCGAAATTCAGCCCAGCCGGTGTTTGTTTTTCGATGCATTTTACAACCCGCAGAGAGTTCGAGCGGTTCGCACCGCTGGCTACCAAACGTGTTGCTGAAGAAGAGAGAAGAATGTTGTTTCGGATGGGGTCGAGCCACCTGAAATGAATGGTCTCATGATAGGTCGCGTGAACGCTTTGGGCGTTACGCATGTTCAAGTCTCCATATTTGGAACTTGAAGCACGTCGGATGGCGTATGATCAATGTCGGCCATGCCTCTAGATAAGATCACATGATCCACGAAGCTGTTCGGCCGGATAAAGCCCAAGTTTCCTGTTTTGGATTGCCAGCAATGTCCGCTCGGGTGCCGTAATTCTTCGTCCAGCTTGGATTGGTTTCGCACAATTTTGGTTGACCACAGGCAGAACAAATACTAACGAAGTAGGAAGTGAGGCGGCTTGCCTCATCTATGGAGATTTTATGCAAGAGCCCCGGGCTTAACGCCCGTTCCTGGCGAATTGACTACAGGAACATCGATGTAAGGAACGCTTAGGCTGTGCGCTGAGTGATCCTATTACTGTGCTCTCATAAAATCGAGAAATCCCTTGAATATTTCAAAGCACGAACAGCGTGTTTTGCATGAGCCCGCTCTTGGTGGAGTTATCCGCCATGAACGACTTCCAAACGGCAAAATATGCGATGTCACCTGTTACACGCGCAACGGTTACGTCCTGGCTGACTGCAATCACGATGTCTTCCAACGCCTTCTGAAAAAACGTTTGGTCCATTCGAAAAATGGACGCCCCTATCGCGCCTCAGCGTTGGGGATCAAGTCCGTGCGCGCGCAACTCAATCAAAGATGAAAAGAACAACAGAAAGCAAGACAATGATAAGAGAATATACAACCAGCGATACCGATGCGTTGATCGGCATCTGGGACAAGGCGAATGCGCTTGCGCATCCTTTTCTGGCTACGGATTTTGTGGCTTTTGTCAAAGATGCGATGCGCGACACGTATCTGCCCAATGCAGAAACATGGGTTCTTGAAGATGACGGCAATCCCATTGGCTTCATAGCCATGATAGGCAATGAAATCGGCGGATTGTTTCTTGACCCGGATCATCAAGGGCGTGGCCACGGTCGCGCGATGGTTGATCATGTCGTTGGGATCAAGGGCCCGCTTCGGGTTGAAGTCTTCAAAGAAAACAATGTTGGGCGACCATTCTACGAAAGGTATGGCTTCGAATTTGTGGAAGAATTTCTACACGAACCATCGGGTGCCATGACATTCAAGATGTCCATGCCGGGTGCTGCTTCAGCTTAGATGGTGACACTTGTGCTTCTGCGCACAACATTTACACCCCGGGTTCATGCTCGGGGTGTAGACCTTTTTGAAAGCTGACTTCCAGCGTTGAACGAGGAACGGCAGCAATGTCCGCTGAGCGGACCTACCAGGTCGATTGATTGGCCTCGGAAAATTTGCTGGGCACTGTCATCCGCTCTCAATTGTTGCAATGGGCACCCTGTTTGTCGCTCGAGCGTGGGATGTCCTTTTTGTGTGCGGCGGGCGTCAAAAACTCTATCGGTATTGCAATGGTGATTTTCAGTGATAGTTCAGGGGTGCGGGGCGCCATTTCTTTGGTTTTCAAGCCGGAGACCAAGGTTACAGTTTATGCCGGAGACACCTGGTTCATTTCCTTCTCGAATGGATCGTCGACCAATCGTATCGGGGCGTGATGTTTTTTGTGAACTCAAGAACAACGGATGCCCGAAACGGATCCTGATTTGATCACTCGGTGGATTCGCGTTCACTCAGAATGCGATCGACCAATCCCCACTCCATTGCTTCTTGCGGCGTCATGAAACGGTCTCTGTCCATCGCGAGTTCGAACTCCTCGTATGTTCGATGGCAGTGTTCGGCGTAGAGACGGGTCATGTGCTGCTTGGTACGCAGGATTTCTTCGGCATGGATCGCCATGTCCGATGCCTGGCCCTGGAAGCCGCCAGACGGCTGGTGGATGAGAATGCTGGCATTGGGAAGTATCGCACGCTCTCCCGGCTCGCCAGCCATAAGGAGGAATGATCCCATCGACCTGGCTGTCCCCATGCACAGTGTATGAACCGGAGCCTTTATGTAGCGCATCGTGTCATACATCGCAAAACCGCTGGTGACCACGCCGCCGGGCGAATTGATGTAGAGCTGGATGGGACGCGTTGAACTGTCCGCTTCAAGAAACAGCAATTGTGCGCACACAAGTGCCGACACCGTGTCATTGACCTCGCCGTTCAGGAATATGATCCGCTCTCGAAGAAGGCGGGAATAGATATCGAAAGAGCGCTCGCCGCGGTTGGTTTGTTCCACGACCATCGGGACGAGTTGCATCGCTTCGCGCATGGGCGAACTCCTGTGTTTTGAAGATGTGGATTTCGGAACGAAAGTCAGGCGGCTTGCATCAAGACAGGTTCGTTGCTGTTCGCAGCCCCTGGCATTGGCGAAACAAGACGATTGTCGATGAGGCGATGCGTGACCCTGAGGACTGTCCCGCCGTTCCCTTGGGGCCTGAGCTGAAATGTCACGACGCTTTCCAGATGGGGTGGATCGCTGTCCCTCATTCGGAAGCAGATTTGCTCACCCGTCACTTCAGCCATGGGTTCTGCCGCCGCAAGGTCGCTCCCGGGCAACCATCTCTCTCTGTATTCCTGGATGGTAAGTGCCCGCCATATCTTCGCCGGTGGCGCTTCAAGTTCGTATTCCAGAACCATGCCCACGGTTTCTTCATCATCGATGACAGGTGTTGAAGCCTTGGCGTCAGTCTGTCGTTTGCTCATTGATCCATGTCCTTCAGCAGGTCTTTCAAGGCGTCGATACGCGCTGGCCAGTAGGCGCGATACTTCGCCAGCCAGTTCGCAATCATTGCCAGCCCGTCGGGATCGACCTCGTAATTCACGAACCGGCCCCTCCGTTCCTGCCGCACAAGCTTTGCGTTGCACAGGATGGCAAGATGCTGTGACATTGCGGGCTGACTGATCTCCACTCCGTCGCGCAATGAACTTGCGTTCATGCTGCCGGAGGCGAGTTTTTCGAAGATCATGCGCCGTGTCGGATCTGCCAGGGCCTTGAATATGTCGTTTTCCATCATGCCAATACATAAGCATACACTTATGTGATTCGCAATGCCTTTGAATTTGGAACTTTGCCGGCTGAAAACGTAACGCTGTGGGCTTTGGGAGTTGGCAGACAACCATCTTCAAAGAAAACCGGAAAAAGGAACACCAGCACTCGTTTGCTGGCAACCAATCACTGCGTTGGACCCGATCATCCACGTAACGCTTCAAGCCTTTGAATTTACGCGGTTTCTCACTGTCTCGATCGATTTGTTGACCAGGCCCGGTGGGCGCACTAGCCTTTTTTCAATGGTCCTTCATAAGGAAGGCAAACCCGTGGATGGGCACCAATGTATTTCTCTTGTCTCAGAGCATCACTGGCATTGACCATCATGGCATCGCTGACTTTGTCAGCCGGTTCGGCGTCGTTGGCGCAAACTGCCTTTGAGGTAAAACCACCCGTCGCACCGGAAGAGGGAGGCCCGAGACGATGGGTTGTTGTCGGGGCGGATGTGCAATTGCAGTCCAAACCGTCAAGCGCTGCCGAGGTGATTAGGCTCCTTGAGAAAGGAGAAATTCTGTCCAACGATGGATGTCGGGAGGCGGGCTACCAGATCTGGTGCAATGTGCGTTCATTCCGCGGTGGTCGCGGAGGTTTCGTCGGATTTCAGAACCTTCAGCCGGCGAGGGGGCCCGACGGTATCGTGCCAATGGGCGTTGATGACAGCAGGCGCCGCGCAGGAAAGCGCGATTTTGACGCGAAAAGCAAGATTGCGTGCGCTCAAGAGCGTGGTCAGGCATTGGGATCTTGCGAGGCCGCGACTGCACAGAGCGACGGCGGCGACGCGACGGTGGTCGTGACGTTTCCCAACGGCTTCCAGAGAAAACTCTACTTCATTCACGGAGAATTCGTGCGGGCCAGTGCGACCATGTCGGGCGTGGGTACCGATTTTGCCTGGAACCTGACAGACGATCTTTATTCCATCCGCGTTGACGATCAGCGTTTCGAGCTGCCAATTCGGCTGGTTTTCGAGGACTGATGGGGTCCGTAGATCGGTTGCGCCACTAGAAGGTGGCGCAACCGGGGTCTCTGGTCAGGGCGTCAATTTGTGGATCATGCCCTCGTCAATCGCCGCATAAAGGCTTCCATCAGGCCCAACCACGAGCGAGCGGAACCGGCCAGCTTCCATTGGCAACGTCATTTCCGTCACGTCTATGACTTCGGTGCCGTCGTCCGTAAGCTGGAGGACGTCGATACGTTGACCCAGTGGTGTGCCGCCGAAGCCGATCCCCATGAGACCGACCACCATGGCGCCATCCCAGTCACCCCATGCGTCACCTTCAAGAAAGGCTGCAGAAGATGTGCCTTGCGACCAGCCATTGTTGTTCCAGATGGGCGGCATGGCGCTCGGATAGGTCTCGAAATCGGTCATGGGCATCCAGGATGCACGCGCGAACCTGTTTTCACCAACCATTTGATTTGGGCTGTAGCCGCAGTAATTGTCCGGACAATCGCCACGTCCGGCCATGTTCGGCCTTGGATCCCAGCCAGCGTTGCCGCCATTCCTGAGAACGGTGATCTCGTCCGAGTGCCATGGTCCGTGTTCAGCGGCAATCGGCGTGCCTGTTCCCGGATGGAATGCAATGCCCTGGACGTTTCTGTGCCCATAGGTGTAGGTCCGCTTGTCGAAACCGACCGGCGGCGTATTTTCGGGTGCAGCGGTTCCGTCCGTATCGATCCGCAGCACTTTGCTGCCCATCATTGTCGGGCTCTGCGGTACCTGACCGTTGTGCGTGTCGCCGGTCGTCAGATAGAGGTAACCGTCACCCGGGTTGAAACGCACCCTCCCGCCATTATGAGCTCCCGGGCCACCGAACGGATGGTCTGAGGCTTTCATCTTGTACGGGACGTCGTCAACAATATCGGTCCGCCCTGACACATTGGAGAAATCGTCACTGACCTCCAGGCGCATCAACCTGTTGGTGTGGGGTGTAGACATGTTGGACGTCGAGTAAACGTAAATTCGCCGGTTGTTGGCGAAATTCGGATCTATTGCGACACCCATCATTCCGGCTTGACCTTCACAGAAAAGGTCGTCGGCCGTAGAAGCAAATCCTTCGGATCCACCCATGCCGAGAAGTGCTTTGGTCTCACCTGAAGGCATCAGGACGGACAGCCCCTTGCACTTTTCGGTATAAAACATTGTTCCATCGTCCAGGAACGCCATGTCCCAGGGGTTTTCGAGATCTTCCAGCACAAGAGTATGTTTGAGGCTGGTGGTATTTTGTGCAAATACCGGCGCAGAGAAGACTGTAGCGCCCAACAGGAGCGTCACAAGACTGGTAGCATTTCCAATTTTCATTGAAACCTCCCTTTTTGTATGTCGTGCGTGCGGTTGGTCGAATGTTCCGTCCTGCACACTTTCGACGCGAAAGAGGTTAGGCCTTTAAGGCGATCGGATCAAATAAATTAACCTAACGTAAGTATTGGCCGAATTGGCGGCAATTCGCCGTTTTTGACAAGGTCACTCGAAGGTGGTGACGATAAACGTTACGATATTGGATATGTCTTCGTCGGAGAGTTTTTTGGCGCGCGGTGCCATCAATGGCGTGTTCGGGCCGAATTTCTCGCCGGCACGGTATCTCTCAAGCCGATCGACAAGGTATTCGGCAGGGTGTCCGACGAGTTTGGGGTAGCTGGCAAGCCCCTTTGCCGTCGGTCCGTGGCATGCTCTGCAGTTCTTTTTGTAAAGCGATTTGCCTACTTCAACATCTTGAGCTGCCGCCTGAGACGTTCCGAGTAAGATCGTCAACCAGATCACGATGATTGAACCAGTTTTCATGTCGTGTCTCTCCCAAATCACAACGAGATGCGATAGTCTGAACGAAGGCAAAAATATCAAGAATTCCCAAACCGGCGGAGACATCAAGTCCACAATGTTCGCAGCAGAGTGACCAGCCTGTAGTGAAATTGAAAGACGATGATGCTTCGAAAACACTATTTTGCAGACACAACCTTGCCTGCAACCACAGGTGCTCCATGTGTTTTCGGAATGGCTTCCTTGAAAACCTGAATGAGTTCCATGTCCTGTTCTTCGATGTCGCTGGTGGGGGTCAGGGCGAGGTCGGAATAATTGCGCCGGTCCTCGTCGGCCAGCACCCGCTTCATGGCCGGGCGGAACTTCAGAAACAGTCGTGCCCACGATATGGCAACAGAAACAGCTTCGATTGCCCGTTTGGGATAAAACACGAGTGGGTTTTCCAGTTTCATCCCGTGGCGACGTTGAGTTCGGTGCTTGCGCCTAACAATTCCACATTCAAGGGGGTGGACCTTTTCGATCAAGATAGCCCCAAGGAAATGGATCATCGAAGAATAGAGCGCCTTGGTACGGGCACCGCGCGCCGCATCGCGCCGAAGAACCGTCTCGACATGCTCTGGAGTGTAAAACTGCTTCCAGCTGTCTAAATACACCTTGTCCCATTCCTGGTCTGTCATCAGTGGATGATGGGTGACGCGGTGGTTGAGGTCGTATTTGTTGAAGTCCGGATCCATCCAGACACCTCTGGACGCGAGGATCTTGTGGTCTTCCGAGCCTGGAAGCGGTGTCAGAAAGAAAAACTCGATCAGATCAAGTGGCATTTCCTTCTTGATGATTTCGATATTGCGCCGGATTTTCTCAGGTGTGTCATCCGGGAAGCCGAGAATGTATCCGGCATAGGTGATAACACCTGCGTCCTTCCAGGCCTGAAGCATCTTGCGATACTCCCAGATCTTGTTCTGGCGCTTCTTGGCGGCGGAAAGGGCATCGGGATCGATGTTTTCCAGGCCAATGAACACTCTCGCACATCCGGCACGTGCGGCCTTTTCGATGAATCCGGGCAGACGGTAACACAGGGTATCGACCTGTAGTGTCAGCTTGAATTTCAGGCCCTGGTCTTCGCGTAGCCAGATCAGCCGATCGAGAATGACCTCCCAGTTTCTGTTTCTTGCAAAATCGTCGTCAGTGATGAAGAACCTGCGGATATTCTGCTTGGCATTGGCACGAATGATGGTCTCGATATCATCAGGTGTGCGGAACCGTGATTTCCGTCCCTGGACATTGATGATCGTGCAGAAGGAACATTGAAACGGGCATCCACGCCCGGCGTCGAAACTTGTATAGGCACCTGCCATCTTGCGCACCGCATCGGCAGGCAGGATCGGATGCACAGCACCTTCAAGATGAGGCAGGTCCTTCATGAAGTTGTAGAGTGACTTCAACTCTCCGGACCATGCATCCTGAAGAAGCGCATCCATTCGCCCCTCGGCTTCGCCGGCATAGATGGTAAGGCCCATTTCCTGGGCTGCGATTATTTCCGGTGTCAGTTCGGGCAGCATTGCGATGCTGCCAGCGGCGTGAAAGCCACCGGCTGCAATCGGAATACCTGCAGCAATGAATTCCCTGGCGATATCGACAGCCCTGGGGAACTGGTTGGTTTGAACGCCTACCAGCCCGACAAGGCACCCGTCCGCTTGCTTCAGGGACTTGATCAGGCTCCCGATTTCGACCTTTGTGTTCGTTTCGTCGATGACATCTATTTCAATTGAAACATCATCGCCGAGCGTTTTTCTTTCGCTGCAGTCCTTGATGAGACCATAGATCGACGCGAGTGAATTTGAAGGGATCGGTGCCCGCAACCACTGGATGACGTATCCTTCGTCATCATAATGTGAAGGTTTGATCAAAAGGATTGAAAAGCGCTTGGACATGGAATTCCAGGCTCCGGTCGAAGGTTTGTTCATCGCGAAGGCGAGAGTACCCCGAGACGATCATTCTTGCGGAACCACGAAGTTACCGCAAGGGAATTATCAGTGCAGCCGATGTACGCGAGCACCGGTACCACCGACTTGGCAAGAAACAGCGAACCAAGGCGAGGACCAATCTGCCCACTGCTTCCATCCGGTATGCTGATCTTCACTTGCAGATTTTGGAGCAACGTTCCGAACGCGACTTGACGCTACCTATCAACGAAAGAATGACCTGTGTGCCAGAAGCCACCGTCTGGCCAACCAGTCATCGCTCGCTCGATTTCACATCCCGGCACGACGATTGTTGCACTTGAAAAATAGCGTGCAATGTAAAGATCTCATTGAAATTAGAGGAGGTTCTCAATATTGATTTCATATAACTTGTGCAATGCAGTATATTTAGTAGTAATTTTTATGCACATATTATCAACAGCTACGTAAGTCTCTGTTGAAAGATTCGAATTCAACTAGACTTCAAGCAAGTAAACAAGCAACATAAACCTACTGCTGGTTCGGAACTGATGGCGGGGTGGCAACCGCATAACAGCCCGAAAAGCCAGTAGCCCATGCCAGGGTTTGTGAGCAGTCCGTCACACGGAATGAGCAAACGAATTTTTGGATGCCACATGGGATGCGCCGGACGCATTCACGTGAAGCGAAGGGCGTCCCGGTAGTCCGGTGAACGGCGGGTTATCCGTATGATCGGCGCGGGTGTGAGGTCGAAAGATCTTGTGTTCGTGGATCGGAAGTCTCTTCGGAAACTTCGGGTCAGTGTAAAAGCGGAGAGTTTTGACGTGTGGTGAGTGATCAGCACAATTCGTCAAAAGCAATCTTCCTTTAACGCAGGGGGGCGCTGGTTACGGCCAGCGTCCTTTTTCTTTTTTAGGCCTCCAACAACCTTGTCCGATACAAAACTCGCACGGATGCGAATGCGCAGGTGCTGCGAAACGGCAACGCTGTGACAAGACCGGCCTGGAGACTGGAACCCTGAAAAACGGATCCGGTCCCGAATTGGGTTGTCTATCGGGCCAGGGCTCCGTCGAACATCGGAGCGGTGAAAGAGGGGAGGAAGAAAATCGGGAAGCTTCTGTTGATAAGTTCAACAAGCCGCACCGGCCCATGAATCATGGACCGGTGTTGGTGTTCAGGTTTTGATGCAGCCGTCAGTTGGAATCTGACTTCCTTGACTCTGCAGTCGACTGGCCAACCATCAGAGGCGTGATTTTGGTCTTGAGAATCATATCGAGTTCTTCAGAACCATCCTCCAGCGACTGAAGTGCCATATCAAGGCAATAGGAGCAGAAGGTGCGCCCATCCTTATCAGCTTCCTTCTTGGTGTAACGGATCATCCGTTTGATCGCTTCAACCGCCGGTTCCAGCTCTTTAGCAGGGCGATCTGATTTACTGACTGTCTTTGACATTCTACTACCCACCAGTATTCGATTTACCGTTCGCAGCGATGCTGCCGTAACCATCCACAAGAAGCATGATGTTGCAGCGTGATATTAGCGTGATAAACTGCTGTTGCAAATCAGGTTGTGAGGCATTCGCATTAGAGTGTGCAAACTTCTGATAGCGTGCGGTTCAAATACGGGGAATTAATGGCAGTCGCCTCCTGTTTTGCATGTCTTGGGCGCCCGTTGCTCCTGAGCAGAAATGAAGACCCTGTTGCGGTCAAAACCCGTAAAGCTCTGGCCATCATGGGCTATTTGAGCCGCGTGAACTCCATGAGCTCACCTCGGGAAATGCTTTCCGACCTGTTGTGGAGCAAGGCCGAACGGACAAAGGCGATGCAGTCGCTCAGGCAGGCTTTGCGTCAGTTGAAGACCGCGGAAGACGAAGCCGGTTTTGATGTTGTTCGCACGTCAACAGGGCACGTAAGGCTGGACCCTGAGACCTTTTCCTCCGATTTGATGACGGTTCTGACGTTACTGGAAAGGGGTCGGGCCGATGATTTTCGCGAGGCAGAAGGCCTGTGGCGCGGCGATTTTCTGGCTGGATTTGAGGATATAGATCCCGAATTTTCCGATTGGCTCCAGGTCGAACGGGAACGTGTCCGGTCCGATGTGGTGACGGCCGCCTTCAAGCACCTTGATCAAATTTCGACAGTTGACGGTGGATTGCAGGTTGAAGCCGGCGGCCGGTTCCTGCTCAAGATCGACCCGGCACTCGAGTCGGCACATCGCATCCTGATCCGTCTTTATATGAAACTCGGCCAACGAGAACGGGCGGAGCAACAGTTCAAAGCCTGTGAACGGGAGATGCGTCTTCATCTGGACGCGGAACCGGACGAGGAAACCCACGACATTCTTGTCGACAAGGAATCTGAAGCTGCGGTCTTCAGGCGACCTGGCGAAATCGGACCGACTGTCGTTTCGCTTGCGAATTCCCGAAATTCGATCCAGCTGCCGGAAATTTCAATCCTGTCCTCGTCTGTTG